TTTCTGGGTACACAAGGTGTTAACGAAATAAGTACTCAAAATTGGAGACTATGTAAAACATGTCCAAATATGATGAAAACTTTATTAGAGTTTTTGTCAGTGGCGGCTCCTACGGGATACACAGCTCCTTGAAGGGGTAACTCAGGAAACAGTTTTTATTGCATAACTTCAAAACGGTCTAATATTAAATCGCGAAATTTTGGGGATATACCTATTACTATTTATATGCTTAATAATCGGTATAATATACAAGAACAACAAGGGCAGGTCATAGATTCCTAAGTAAGGTCAAGGAAGTTAATGTAGGTAATTCTGTAACTGGCAGAAATATACAAGATGATTCACAACTTATCCTAAAAATTTGGGAATAGATGCGGCATGAGAAATGGAGTCAATATTGTAAAAAAAAATGTTGTAAAATCCTTATAGTTTCCGAGAAAAAAATTATTGAAGTTGTAGTGCTTTCAACCATTACATAGCTGGACAACTGTAGTCTCTAGCGTCATTCGTAATACGCCTGGAGAGCCCATGGATTTCGTTTTAGTTTATTGTGAAGTAAGAAAACATTTGTATTATGGTGAAGCATTTGTGTTATGGTGAAACAAGACAGCATTTGTGTTAGTTCGTAGAAACTGAGTAAGACGGACCCAAATGTATTTACACGTCGGTGGACAAAATTTTGAACAGTTGTTGTAACATCAGGTATGTCAAATTATTTTATTATTTAAAACCACAAATGAATTTTATTAATTAATAATAGCAATAGCGACAAATTCAGTTGAGTTTGTAAAATAGGTATAAAATAGGTGCTATAAAATTCTATTTATTCTTTTCCTTGCGATAATTCTTTCAAGTTTTTGCCCGTTTTTATCACTGCCGTCGTGACGGTCGCATTGTGCCAGGTCAGGTTTTACAGTGGACCAGTCCCCTGTACATCCAGAATTTTTTTTTTTAATAAGTTCTGAATCACCCTGTATGTATGTTTTAATGTATCTATCTCCTTAACTTCTTTTTTTGTAGAAATTTGAATATTTCTTCGGTTCAGAATCAATTTGTATCTTTATGTGACTAATAGTATGCAACTCTTAATACTTGTTACTGTATTTTAAGTTGCATAAGCACCAAATGATGAAAACCTTAGTAGAGTTTTTATTAGTGGCGGCCCTTAAGAGATATACAGCCCCTTGAAGGGGTAACTCAGGAAACAGTTTTTATTTCATAACTTCAAAACGGTGTGATATTAAATCACGAAATTTTGGGGTTATATGATTAATAGTCGGTAAAATATACAAATCAAAATTTGATGTTGAGGCGTAAGAAAATGCGAGACCACAGGGAGAATTTTACAATTTTGTTTTGTACGCAATTTTTTGTACTTCGTGAACCGAAATTATGAAAATTTATCATATTTTGCATAAAAATGGTACTCTTGTTAGATTTTAATAGCATAAGCCGTTGTCTAGTAAAATCCATTTCAATAATAAATTATTATAGAGCTACTAGTTTAGATACAGAGGAATCCGCGCGGATCATCTATCCGCGGCGGGCAGGTGTGAACGAATTCGAAAACGGTAACATACATAAGCTCCGCCCGTGCGGTTACATCCGCGCGCGGTTTCCGCCGTGTCTGAATTTGCCCATAATATTTTCAACGGTGAAACTACATTTTTTTGGTATTTTTTGATTTTCAAATAATTATTAACATTTTATTATTCAAAATTATTTATGTTGCTGTTTACTATAAAATTATCTACTTAAGGAGGTTTATCGGCGCCACCCAAATGTGAACGGCAATATTGTATCGTGTAATTTAAACTTTAAATCATAGTCGTCGTAAAATTCAATAATTGTCAAATATATTACTTAGACACTTAGAGCAAATGTAGTGAAACCTAAACACGTGAAATATGCAAAGAGCAAGGGCTATAGCTAAATTAAAAGATAATTGGTCTTTGAGTGAAGTGGCTGCTGATTTAAATGTCAGTAAGAGCTGTATATTTTATATTAAAAAACGTTGGCAAGAAGAACAAAGATTAAAGATTACAAGGACCTATCAGGCAAGGTGACGGAAAGGTTTCCAATGACGCGGAAGATAAGGCTTTGGTCGAATGTATCAAAGAGACTTTAGGCCGGCAAACCGCAATCAACTCTGGCAAGCTATTCAAGATGCTTGGGAAGAGCTCGTGGATTCATATGATATGAGAGCGTTGATTTTGGCTATGCCAACAAGATTGCAAAGTGTTGTGGCAATGAATGGCTCTGCAATAAAATATTAATATTTCATTCTAATGCCAATTTTGCAATAGCAGTTTTTGCGAGAGTTAAACGTTTCTCTGTTGATCTGCAGTCGTCACTGTGCTCAAATATAATTTTCTTCTATAGCCATAGATTTGTTGTTAATTTTGAAATAAGGTTTTTTACTTTTTATTTACTGTTTTTTTTAATAATTCTTATACTTTAAAATATATCTACTAAAGTTGATAAACTTAATTTGGTTGTCTTATTTCACTAACATCAATCCAAAATTGATAAAATTATTATTATTAACTTTCTTCCACTAATATGTAAGTAAGTAACATTTATTTGGTTAATCTCCTTTGTATTATTTCTGTCATTTTAATTATTAAGTACTATAAGAGACACTGAAAATAAAATTCTGTCAACACCCTCTCTGTGTTACGCCACTAAAAAAGTCTGATCTACTACGATAAAATCCAGATTAAATTTCCATAACAACCAAAATCCATTCACATTTGGATGGCGCCAACTGTACGTCTAAAGTCTAACGAAACGAAAGTTTCTGTAGATTCGCTAGTGACTAAAGTAGTAAGCCTTTAGATTTGGCAACATTGCATTTGGCTGGCGCGCTCGGCTCGGCGTTCGCTCGCTCCCGTTCAATCATTCCGTTTTTTTGGACACCTACGAATTTCAAATAATACGCTACGTCGAGACCGCGGCGTTGCCGCTATCACGCAGATGGAGGATAAGTTAGTCAACGGTAGCAGTTTGAAGGAGAATTATTATAAACTATGTATCTTACAAGTACCTAATCGATTTCTACAAGATGTCATACGGTTCCTTAGATATCGGTAAAAAATATTTTATTAATATCTCGTCTCTTAGGTATCCAAACTAGTCACATATTTTTTTTTTTGAGGACTTTCTTCATATTAATAAGCTTATATTAATTTTTTTATGAATATTTGTTCGTCAATTCCAAATCAGATAAACCTCCTTAACTGTGACATTAAAGTCTGATTTAGAAACAGTTACATAACAACTACAATGACGACAATGATAGTACAAAAGGAAAATTAAATAAAAATAGTAATTTTCTCATGGCACACACAATTTGATACATTTATTTTGCAGTAGGAATTTTTGAGTAAGTAATGAATTATTTAAATGGATTTTACTAGAAAACGGCTCATGCTATTAAAAAGAGTACTTTTTTATGCAAAATATGATAATTTTTCATATTTTCGGTTCAGAAAGTAGAAGAAATTGCGTACAAAGAAAAATTGTAAAATTTGACCCATGATCCCGCATTTTCTTAGGCCCCTGTAGCAAATTTTGATTTGTATATTTTACCGATTATTAATCATATAAATAGTAATACAACCCCAAAATTCTGTGATTTAATATTAAACTGTTTTGAAGTTATGAAATAAAAACTGTTTCCTAAGTTGCCCCTTCAAGGGGCTGTATACCCCTTAGGGGCCGCCATTGACAAAAACTCTACTAAGGTTTTCATCATTTGGTGCTTATGCAACTTAAAATACAGTAATAAGTATTAAGAGTTGCATACTATTAGTCACATGAAGATACAAATTAATTCTGGAGTTTATAGAGCTGTAAGAAATCGTTACTATTCGTAATTCGAGTACTCGTTACTCAACACGATCCGAAGTAACGATTACTAAAAAAATTACGTTATCGTTAATTCACTACTCGAGTTCTCGATTTTTGCAAGAGATGTGGTAGGAGTAGGTGTAGATCCGAATACCGAACCGCTATCGCCAAATCCACTGGTAAAAACGAAACTGACCACTGAAACAAAAATGAACTCTGCTCCATCATTAGCGAGATCTTGAATTTAAAAATTGTACAGATTACTACAATATGTATAAACGTGAAATTCAAATATTGTAGAATCCTACACTACAGTGAGTCTGAAAATTTCCTGTATATCATCGAAATACAAGCTGAAAATTAAATTATTTACTTTTGATAATTTAAACACTTTAAAGCTGCGTAACATAATTTGTAGGTAGTAGGTACCGATTACCTAACCTGCATACAAGACAAGTAACTTCAGATCTCGAACCGTTATAATCCGACTGCTGCAGTACTCGTACTACCCATACAGCACCTTTTGATCTTCGAGTAGTCGAATAATTGATCCCAAGTAATGATTACTGTATGAAAAAGTAACGAGTAGTTACAGGTACTGGAAAGTAACTGAATTTTATAAGAAATATTACTTCAAATTTCTACAAAAATTAGTTAAGGAGATAAATACATTAAAACATACATATATTTAAAGAACATGATTTTTTGTATACCTGCCAGTTACAGAATTACATTAACTTCCTTGGTCTTAGTTAGGAATCTATGACCTGCTCTTGTTGTTCTTGGTTTAGGCACTGTGGTGGCAGACCAGTATCAAAAGCCTTAGGATACTAAAATTACTATGGACAGAACTGCTTCTCGACAATGGTGGTCCTCAGAGACATTCTGTGGTATGCATCAGTTCTATTTTCTATATTTATAACCTTTAAGTTTGATTCTCTTGGTTTTCGTGAATCGCAAATGCAAATTGTACTAAATTTTTTTCCTGAATGTTTAGTGAACTCAACTAATTTTATTTGAAACTCGAAACCCAAGAGATAACTGCAAAAACTTCGAAGTGTTTGAATCAAAATGACGTTGGCAAACCATTGTGGTATATCTAAATGCGTTTTTTAAACAATTTGAAGGATTTTCAATAATTCAAACAATGAATAAATGTGCATTTTTATTTTTTTATGTACACAAAAAGTAAAAGTTATATACAAATTCAAGTCCCTTCCTCCAACAACTACTTAAAAAGCGGCTCGGTCGCCCTCAAAAACTCCTCCCTAAACTTCTTAGTGTTGAACCTCTCCACCGAAGCCTTAGCCCGTTCCCTAATCTCGTTCACTTCCTCGTCGCTCAGTTCCAGGATAAACTTGATGATGTACGCAAACTCCTGCGGCATCTGTGCCAGAAATCCCAGCCTAGAACTCTCAGAAGTCTCGATGATATCCAAAAGAGGCCCCCCTGACCTGTGCGCCACCATTATCAACCCTGCCGCCATCTGCTCCACAACGCTGATACCAAAGTGCTCGTCCACCATGGTATGGATCCCGACATAAGCATTTTGGAACTCCTTCAACAAATCGTCGTAGGGGATGTTAAGTTTGAATTCGACGTTGTTTTCGAGGCTTAGGTGTTTACTGAAATCCATCAGGTCTTTAACGAGCTTCTCGTCGTCGGCATTACGGCAGCCGCCGCACAGGACTAGGGTTATGTTGCTGAAGAGTTCTTCCGGTACCATCTCTCGGAGCTCGTACATCGCTTGCAACTGCAAGGGGTGGTCTTTCTCGGGTCGGAACTGAGCTAGGGACATGATGCGGATTTTTTTAGGCTTTTCCAAACTCCTCGGCAACCTTTTTAAGTGGTCAATTTCGCAAGGGGGGTAAACTAAGTGCAGCGGTTTGTTCCAGAGTATGGTGAGGTGCTCTAAAGTGAACGTAGAATTTACTAGGGTTATGTCGGAACACTGGCCAGTGAGTGAATATACCTGGAAGATATTAGTATAAGATTGATATCCACTTTTCATGGAGTGCATTTATCTGGTTTTAAAATTAAAAAAGGGGTGGACTTTTTAAGAATGCATGTATTAGCAATTTTTTAATCTAAAAATTAGTAATATATTCTACTTTAGCGTCCCTAAGAACCTCTCTGTACCAAATTGGAATAAAATATCATTAAAAATGCTTAATAGGCCGCCATACACGATCAAACAATTTGCACAACAGAGGACTTTGTGCAAACATTTTGATCATGTATGTCTTGATTGGAGCTGTTGCGCAACAGTTTGAGTAAATTCGAGCTTGCTTGAAATTATTTGTGCAACACGTGACTTACTCAAACAGGTTTGAACGTGTATGTGGATCTTTGAAGATGTTGTAGAACGTAACAAACAAATAGTCATACAATTACAGTTGTTGAAGCGGTTTTAAAAAATAAGTAAAATTTAGAATTTATACAGATGTATCACGATTTACCCGAACTATGGAAAGTTAAAAGTGAACATTATAAAAATCGAAATTCAAAAAGTGCAGGCTTCTGCAGACATTTTTAATAACAAAATTAATTTCAGAACAAAATTAACGATACCAGACAAGCACGAACAAACTGCTTAAAAATATAAAAAATTGCCTATTTTCAATAAATTTGCACAAACTGTGGTATCGTGTATATAATCACCAAGTTGTACAATATTATGATGTATGACAAAAGTTTGCGCAAATTGTTTGATCGTGTATGGGGCCTGTAAGAAATGGATAACCAAACATTTAATTTTTTTACTCTGATGTGATAGTTATTTAAAAAACTTCTTTTCTTTCTTATTTGGACATTTTACGTCTGTTTATTAATGCTAATAGGGCTAAACACTGACACCAAGAAATGAGCAGTCCTCGACCTGGAAGTTTGTTGTAGAGTAGGGATCTTTACTTGCCTAAAGGGTTCTACATACATTGTTCAATTCGCACAAATTGGGCCGCACGAATCTGCATGAACGTGCCAGGCATGCAGTGTGTGGAGGAAAAAGCGGTACGGTTTTATTAGCATGCAAATCTGTTTCAGTTAGATACGTTGCCTTTCTTGGTTCGTGTGATTTGGTTCGTAGGGTAATGTTCGTACGAATGAAACGAAGTCTGTGGTGCCCTTTATGTTGCTTAGACAACACAACCAAAGATTTTACATACTTTTCCGGGAGATGTCACATCTTTCTATAAAAATGTCACTCAAATTTGTACAGCTTCTGTGAATACACTGAAGTACAGGCCACTAAAAGGTGAGCGAGCTTTGCAAGCCTTCCCTGGACAGTCACCCATATACTAACTACGATCAGAGTTGCTTGACTCTTCATATCAAAGACATCACTATCAAATTTAGATAAGCTTTTCCTTTTACTTTTGTCCATAATTACAATAGGAATCTCTATCTGTTCCTAATATTTTCACATATATTTAAAATATCCACAGTAAGTAATGAAATAAAAATAGTAAATAACTACACAATCGTTTTAGAAATCAAAAAAATTTAGGTAGACATGTGGCGAAATTACTACGTAAGAAATAAGAAAGAGGTACAAGCAATAAAAGTGTTGAAAAATGCATAGAAAAAGGAAGGTGGTCAATTGTAATTAAAGTTGTATTATTTTGTTTGTTCTTTCGCCACATGATTTTTGTTTTATATCTTTTCAACATAAAAATCTTAGAGGCAGACAGATTCTTATCCTAAACTATTATTATCAGCTAGATAAATAAAATATCTGAAAATTAAGTAAATTTAAAAAAAAAACAAATAGGTAAAACGAAAATCTGATCTAATTTTTACGTCGATGGTTCCACAAAAGTAAAAAAAAACAGGTGCCCACACCTTGAAAGATTTTTAATTCAAAATTGATAGAGAGAGGTTTCTGGATACTCTGATTTAAAAAATAGTATTTATCTTTTACATAAAAAATTTCACTTTTATGTATTTGTAAGAATGTTTCACCTCTTTTTAAATTTTAGAACTGAACACATATGATCAAAATCGAGATATAAAGGTGGCCCCATGAAAAGCAATACACATTGTCTATAGATACCATGGATAACTAATAGTCGAATATTGTACATTTTATAATACCATCAAGCTCTTTATTTCAAAAATGGAGAATAAAGTAATAATTTTTGTTAATTCTTATCACAATTAATAGTATGGATGAAAATTTAGATGCATATTAGAAATTACTGTATTTTCATGGAAATAGGTTTCAAGTTTTATTCACCGAAAGGTACAATTATTGTTAAATAAAAAAATATTTTTGCCCTTAAAATAGATATTCAATGCGAAATTTTAGAAGTCAGAAAAAGGACTAACCGCCTTTAATGAAAGGGGGGGGGGGTAAGGAAAGGAAAACATATGACCTTGAATATGGCACATATCCGCCTGTATTTTGGGTTTTGCTAAAACTATTAAAAGACCAAGTTTATAGACAACGTTTTCAATGTTAAAGAAATCGTTGGTTGGGAATCGGAATGATTTATCAAAATTTGTACCAATATTTGCATCTCGAATTGAATATTTCTATTATTGTACCGTTATTGTATCAATTTTTGTGGTAGTAACGTATTACAAGAACGTACTTAATTGTTTCTTGTACATTTGGAAAAGTCATAGCATTTATTAAAACCTTATTTATTATTTAATAATTTACTGTTTATACAACATTTTTATCTCATTGACAATGTTAATTAATATAAGCAACACTCTAAAAAAAATAAATTTTAATATGAAAGCTTCATACAAAAATAAATTGCGGTCCTCCTGTCAAGAGCACTGAAACTTTTAAACAAACTCGGTACAATAGATTCTACTCTGTGCAGTTTAAAACTTGTGGTAGTAATATCAGAAAATTCAAATTGTAGTTATTATTTATTCCTCTAATTAAAATTAGTTTCTGTTTAATATGAATATGTATTTTGTAATGTTCAATGTAACTATCAAAATTTTAGTCTTTTAATTAATTAAAATTTTTACAAAAATATAAAAAATTATAAAATTTTATTACATACCCAGGCAAAAATGTGATAATATATGAGTTTTCCCAAAGTCAATGTCTGGCTTCTAGCAATAACTTCTCTGTTGTTGTAAATGGCTTGTCTGCTTGATACTCTGCGGAGCATATCTTTGGTGATGGTGGGGTAGTGTATGTAGGAACCCGTTTTACAACCGCCCAGGTATTTGAACACCGGTAAAGAAAAAGAAAAGCCAGTTGTATCGATGAACACATCTAAAACGTAGTTCTATTAATAAAATTATGATTTAACAACGTTTTTTCTTACCTGGAACTAATTTGGTTAAGGCTTCGTAAGCCAAATACATAGAACCTAGCGCCTGGCCTAACAAAGTGAATGCGGGATACCTATGGCCCTCTATCCACTTACGCTTAGTTAAATAGATAAAGTTTATATTTTTTATGTTTACGTTCAAATTTTTCTTAACTTTTTCTAAGATTTCTCCAGGGGTTACCTCTACATCTCCGGTGTAGACATTGATTTTAACTTTAGGGTACCTAAAAATAAATATATTAAAGATCATATCCATAAAGCATGCATGACTTAAAAGTGCATTAACTCACTTTTCTTGTATGGCTTGTAAAGCCACCCATAGAACTTTTTCTCCGCCACCTCCCGCATTACAATACGGGTGAAATATACCAAGAACAAGTTCTTTTGCAACACTTTTCGCTTTCTCTTTTTTGAATTTTCGTCTGAGGTAAAGATAAATTACAGGAAAGAGAATCGCTAGTGCTACTATCATAAAAAAGGATATCACTATTAATAATTTTACGACTACGAGGAATGTCCTAAAAAACAAATAGAATTTGAGTTTATGCCTAGCTGAAGAGGTTATAGAACACACGTTATCAAACAACGATAAATTTAAACTATGTTAAATAACATACTTACATTATGTTTATGTGATACGACATCCTAACCAGCCTAAATTTAGTTTTTTTATTAGTTAATTAAAAGCTATTAGCTATTTGTTAACTGAATGCCGGTAGCAATCTCAATCACAGATTAATTATTTCATGTGGCAATGCCCAACAAATATTACTGTAGGTATATAATGTTAGATAAATACATGATTCATAACAGATAAGAAATAAATTTCTCACATGTTATATTCCCATCCATTTAACACTGTCAAATAAAAAAAGAAATAGGTAGGCTTTATAATTTTATATTCATATTTCCTTATTTTTTTTAAATTAAAGATTTATTTGGTATATAAGATATAACCTTACTTTACTTGTGGACTTGTGGATTAGTGGTGGGCAAGATCCGCATCATACGTATAAATCATACGGATCTCTAGTGGGAATCAATTCATGCGGATCTCGATACAAAAATAATTTCGTATCTTCGCATCACCGCATCAGTATGAATTGAGAATGACTTGCATTGTATTCTATGGGTCTCAACGACTCAACTGATTCTCTCGTATCCGATACAGGTCGATGAGATACGATGCATTAGACACACTTTACTGCAAAGGGAATTGAATATTAAAATGCGAATACGAAACTGCGGAACGTTGGAGACGGAAACAACAATACTTATAATGTAATAGATAATTTCGAAAATAATTTTGAACATTATTATATTACACTTGCAAATTATTACACGTCTTCACAAAATGAGTTTAAATGTATTACTCCGTGTTCTCCTGCTAGAACTCATAGTTCTGCTAATAAAGTAATATTTGTGTACGTTATTTACAAAAAATGTGCCAATATTGACCTGGTAAGTATAATAGGTACATCGTATCTCGCCTTAAATTAATTTAATCACCCCCTACTCCGATAGTTCTATCTGTTTTGTATTTAGATTTAGAATATATACGCCAACGGAGCGTGATACGAAACACGAGATTCAAACTGGGAATGGGTAAGCGCACGCATACGGGGAATTGTTTATGCGGATACCGGTACTAAAATAATTTCGTATGTTCGCATCACACCGCATCGATGCGAATTGGGAATGAAGAATGAACTGAATCGGTTTCAACTGATTCCTTTATTCGTATCGAATACAAGTCGGTGAGATACGATGTAAGGACTCTAATACATTAGTACAGTATAGTTGCATGGGGAACGAAACATTGAGATGCGAATATGAAACTTTGGAATAATATGGAGTAATGGAACCTGAACCAATACTTACTTATAATAGGCAGGTATTCTATTCTATATTTAAGAAAGAGTAAAATATAAACACTTAATAGAAAATATTCTGTTTTATATACTTTTAAATAGATAACAAAAAGTAAAAACTATATAAAAAATAGCATCTTTGGTAAAAAAAGTTATTTACTTTATAAACTTTATTTTTAAACATAAACACTTAATAGGAAATATTCTGTTGTATATACTTTTAAATAGATAACAAAAAATAAAAACTATATAAAAAATAGCATCTCTGGTAAAAAAAGTAACGTTCTTTAAAATTGCATGCAAAATAAACGGGTATCGGTCAGACCATCACATTTTTACAATTAAAGTTTAAAAATAATAATTGCGACACTTTGGTTGCACTTAATCTATTACGTCTTTCAGTTATTGTCTGTCCACCCTTTGAGAATACCCTCTCAGATGGAACAGATGTTGCAACTATCGACAATCTTTTTTTCATTACTTGAAAAAGTCTAGGATACAACAATCTGCGACTGTTCCACCAGGTTAATGGATTTTCAGTTCTTTTAAGAAGGGGCTCCTGTATATATCTGTTAATTTCTACGATACTTGCAGCAGTAGGATTTTCTATTTCCGTTAGGGATGCAGTGTTTTTATCATATTCATCCCATACAGATTCTTTCGCTAATTGAGGCTCTTTATTTACAGGCTCTATTTCCACTTCGTATTCCATATCTTTTTCAGTTGTATTCAGTTTTATTCCATTGCAGAGCAATGTCACCGATTGTTTGGCTTTTTCGTAAGCGTTAACATTCGCGCCGAAACCCTCTTTTTTAAATCGGGGATCTAGGAATGTTGTCTCGGCTAGTAATAAATTGTCCGATATATTTTGAAAACGTTTTTTTAATTGTTGATTCATAACCATTAAAAATAAGTCAATCTCGGGTGGCAAGTTATTCTCATTTTGCATATTGTTGCAATGTCTTATCAGGGCATTACTTAAAATAATTAATTTGGATATGGTTACATTCTTTTCTGCACTTACTTCTTCTGTTACTTCAAGAAAACATTTAAGACTTTTACATGCAAGATCAAGAACCTTCCAATCGTTTTGTGTTAATACTTCGGATTCGAAGTTTATTAAAGCTAACGTTGATACTAGAGGTTCTTTCACTTTCATAATTCGTTGAAACATTTCATATGTGGAATTCCAACGGGTCGGACAATCCTGTTTTAAATTTAATAATTCGTATCCCATTTGTTGTTGGACTTCCCTAAGTTTTGCAGCTGCCACAGGGCTCTTTTTAAAATGTGTAACAATAGTTTTTACTTTTGATTGAACTTGTGCAATTTCTTTCAACGACGTTTGTACCACCAGATTTAGGGTGTGCGCATAGCACGGCAAATGTTTCCATCCGCATATTCTTACCGCTGCTGTTACATTCGCCGCATTATCTGTTATTACGGCGGAAATTTTATTATCTAAGCCCCATTCATTTAAAACTTTTTTAGTTTCATTTGCTAGGTTTTCTGCTGTGTGTCTTTCGGTGTATTGAAAGCAATCTAATAGAAATGATTTTATTTCGCAGTTAATACCACTGTCGTCTATGAAATGAACGGTAATAGATATATAACTATCATTGTTTAAAGACGTCCAACCATCCGTAGTTATTGAAACGGATGAGGCTGATTGTATTTGTTTTCTAACTTCGTCTGATACTTTGTGGTACAATTGTGGTAATAGGGTGTTTGAAATTGTTTTCCGCGAGGGCAGTGTATAATTCGAATTTAACATTTGTATAAATATTTGGAATTCTCTATTTTCGACAATATTAAGAGGTTGATACTCGGAAGCTATCATTTTCACTAACTGAAAATCTAACTTTGTGCTTTTATTTTGCGATAAGGGTCTATGGATAAAAGCATTGTCTGTGAGAATCTGCTGACTATATTTTATTTTTTTAGATGGATTTGAAATATTAGTTGCCGCAGAAGTACTAGCAGTAGCATTATTCGTATTATAGTTAATATTACCGGAAGTTTGCAAGTCATTTGTATGCATATCACTGTCCACAATTCTTTTTACTTCACCAATTGTTGTCATGGGATGTTTTTTTCGCATATGACGATATAAATTCTGTGTTGAACCCCCTTTGATTGAAAATAAAGTTATACAATAATTACATTTGGCTTGTAAGTTATTTCTAGCTTTCTCGAAGTGAGCCCAAATATTGCTTCGTGTTCTATTAGAGCTCATAGTGTTCTGTTAATAAATAAATTTATAAACATTATTTTAAAAAAATGTGCAAATCTTACCGTGATTTATTAACAAGTATCTGCCTTAAATTAGGTTAATGAAAAATTGTCACCAAAAGTTATTTTATATCATTACTATGTTCATTAATTGCTGACTGCTGCTGCAATTTTATAAAAGAAAGGGTTGAATTTGAAACAGGCAATGAGACGGGACGGGACAGAGAACGAGATTACGAGGCACGAGGTATAGACAAAGAGTTTAAAGAGTACCTAAGCGCACGCATCCGCAACTACAATGCCGGCTTGCCAGCTATTGCACGCAGCACGGAATGTGATTCCTTGATGCGGATCTTTTGATGCGGATCTTTGTGTTGATACGTTTCGCATCATACGGATCATTAAAAAGATCCGTATTGCCCATCTCTATTGTGGATGTTTTTATTTGTCAAATATCTAGTGATAAAAATTTTTGTTCTGTTGGCAGGAATTATTATTATTGAAGTTTTTTGTTAAAATTTCCCGCTGTTTATGTTTAACTTAACCTATAAAAGCTGTTGAATAAAATATTATAGGCTATTATAGTTTCGTATGAATTTACAAAATGGTACGTAAAAATTTTATTTACAATCTTGTCTATTTTATTATCAATACATATTTTCAGAGACGTAGTTTGGCTCCCAGCCAGAAATTCAAAAATGATACCTCCATCGAAAAGAATGGTTTTACTGTACCTGCAAGAACTAAACGCACCAGAGAACATTCTAAAGATGACAAAAGTAATAAATTACGGAAACCTTTATTGCAAATTAATACTCAGATTGTTTTTATCTCGGATCATGTAAGTACTTATTAAATTGACGTGTTTGCGATGTGTTTAGTTAACAAAATGTTAGGAAGAATTAATCAAGAAGCTATCTAAACCTTTTAAATGCCCCATTCCAAACTATGAAGGGTCAAACTCGACAAGGAATCTCGGAATTAGGCGAACACAGGCAAAAAGGGCTCTGTACGATCCTAATATGCCTAATGCGTTGGTACTTTACGCCCCTCCCGAAATCTCTGAACATGAGAAGCTGAAAAGCGACAGGTAAATAATGGGTAGCCTTGTTATCAAAATTACGTAAAATGTGTTTCAGTATAAAATTGGTACATGTGGTGGTGGACCCTCTTTTGGGCAATATACTGAGACCTCACCAAAGAGAGGTAAGTCAGTAAGCCTCCTTAAGCAGTTTTACTTTATTTGCTATTTTCAGGGTGTTAAATTCATGTACGACTGTGTGACGGGTGTACAAATACCAGGTTCCTTTGGTTGCATCATGGCTGACGAGATGGGTTTAGGAAAGACATTGCAGTGTATAACACTTCTCTGGACTCTGGTACGGCAAGGACCAGAAGCGAAGCCTACTATAACCAAGGCCATAATCGTATGTCCCAGTTCTCTAGTTAAAAATTGGAGCAACGAAATCCACAAGGTTTGAAAAACGTCACACAATTTACGTGCATTCTTCTAGGTTGTTTTTTTTAGTGGTTAGGGGGTCGCTTACAAAGCATGATAATGGACGGAGGCACAGATATAAAGAAAAGGTTGACACAGTTCATGCAAGGACAGGGCCCGACGGCCATACCGGTTCTTATAATTTCCTATGAAACGTTCAGAATGCACGCTGATATTTTGCATGCAGGTGAAATAGGGCTTGTTCTCTGCGACGAAGGGCACAGGTAATGAATTTTGTTTTGACTCGTTGAGTAGTTTCGTAAGGACGTTTTTTTAGGCTGAAAAACTGTGAGAACCAAACGTACAGAGCTCTGATGGGGTTAAAGGCAAGACGGAGGGTTCTATTGAGCGGTACGCCCATTCAGAACGATTTATTGGAATACTTTAGCCTCATTCATTTCGTCAATGAAGGTTTATTGGGCAGCGCTTCGGAATTTAAGAGGAAGTTTGAAAATTACATCTTAAAAGGTAAACTATTTAGTAATATTTTGAAATATATCGGACTTTTTAATTATTGATATTGTACGAAACAACTACTCTGCGGGCTACAGGCTCCTGTCAGCATTGAATTACACCTAATATCTAGAAAATAGCTCAAGAAAATCATCATACACAGACAGGTTTCGAACTTATTGCTATTCAGTACCTAAGCATTTTATTCTTTTATGCATACAAAATTTTTTTTGTTTTTAATACAAAATATATGTCACTGTAGTAGCCTTTTGTGTGGATATTTATACTTGAAGTTGTGTTTGCGGTTCTGAATTATGACTAAGTCCCTCGTTATTTCAAATTTATATGTTTTTTTATTAACTTAACAATCGAGAATCAAAAAAGGCCGGCACGGGGTTTGGAATTCCGAAGCCTGAAAAACAATATAGTTTGTCATCAATTTGTTTCTGAATCGGTCCACAGAATTGAACCATTTTGCCCATCTCAATTAGTAGGTCACTTTCTGTCAGTACATACGTAACAATGCTTTGTGCTAGTAGGCATTGTGTAAGAGTAACATTTAAGATGCGACTTACTTTATAGGTTATATCTCATCCGTATTATTTAATTTGTAATCATTTTAGGTCAAGACTCGATGGCGACGGAGCTGGAATGTCGACACGCGTCGGAGAGACTGCAAGAACTCACCATGATCGTGAATAAATGCCTGATCCGCCGAACCTCCTCCCTCCTCACTAAATACTTGCCTGTAAAATTCGAAATGATCGTCATTTGCCAACTGACCCCTATACAAAAACAGCTGTACCTAAACTACATAAATTCTGAGTCTATAAAGCGTTCAGTGACCGAAGAGAGCGTTAAACCAACGTTCAGCTCGTTGGCCAGCATAACCACCCTGAAAAAGTTGTGCAATCACCCCGACTTAGTTCTGGACAAAATACTGGAGGGAGCGGAAGGGTTCGAGAAGTCCCGGGGACTGATGCCGCCCCGGAACGGTGAGAACGAGGTCAGGCCCGAGTTATCGGGGAAACTGATGCTGCTCGATTGTTTCCTGGCGAATTTGAAGGTGAACTACACCGATAAGATCGTTTTAGTGTCGAATTACACTCAAACTTTGGACTTGTTCGAACGGCTGTGTAAAAGAAGGTAGTTTTCTTGTATTGCAGTTCGTTTCTGGTTAAAATTATATCTTTTAGGGGATACTTGTATGTACGGCTGGACGGTACGATGTCGATTAAAAAGAGAGCAAAAGTTGTTGAAAATTTCAACAATCCTGAGTCTAAAGAGTTCATTTTCATGCTGAGCTCGAAAGCCGGCGGTTGCGGGTTGAATCTTATAGGCGCAAACAGACTGATAATGTTCGACCCAGACTGGAACCCCGCGAACGACGACCAAGCAATGGCCAGGGTGTGGCGTGATGGACAACAGAAACCTTGTTATATATACCGATTTTTGGCGGTATGTATTGAACGGTGTTTGTTTTTTAACTGAAGATATTGTAGGAAATGTGATATAACGTGGCAAAACTGACAGAGGGTGACCTGCTATTTCGTAGGTATTAACTAATGATATTGTGTTGACACAAGTTTTTTTTTCTAAGTACCTACAAAATAGCAGGTCACTCTGTGCCAGTTTGGCCTTATCGGGTAGCAGTCCAGTACTCTATTACGTGGCATTTATGTTTCTTTTTTTTATTGTGGTTTTTTCTTTATAATTCCCTTACAGGCCGGGTCCATAGAGGAAAAGATATTCCAGAGACAGGCGCACAAGAAAGCGCTGAGTTCGACGGTGGTGGACATGAACGAGGAAACGGCGAGACATTTCAGTGTCGCGGAATTGCGGGATTTGTTCAGGTTAGAAGACACGGAGTCGGATACGCACAAGAAGTTGAAGTGTAAGCGATGCCTAAATCGGATTCAGATAAAGAATCCACCCGACGACGCGGATTGTACAGACGATCTGGCCCGGTGGTACCACTGTTGGGACAAGAAGGGGCTAGCGGATATGGTAATGTGGACGATAACGTTTGCAATTGGGTTGTGGTTGGAATACGTGTTTTTTTTTGTAGGTTTTGAAGCAGATCTGGGACATGTCGAAATATATTTCGTTTGTTTTCCACCAGAAATCGGCTCGACAGGAGGTCAAACCTGTCAAGAGTTTTGAGGAAGAAGAAGAAAATGACGACCCCGATTTCAACGAAAAGGATAATTCCAATGATTCTGATTACTCGGAATAAAATTTTTAATTGAATTACCTTTAATTGTTTGTCGTAATTTTATATTTAAGTTATATGAAAACTATTTGTGATATCAAGAATAAAATTATTTTTATGTTTGAGTATTTGAGTAGCTTATTTCTGATTAATTGTGACTCAATCCTCTACAATTATTTTCTATTGTCTTAAGGAAATAAAGTTTTCTGTTCTATTCTTTTAAAAGAAAACTGATTTCTGAAAATTTCTAAGGCTTACTTTTACGGATTTGAGATTATAACTGATATTTTTTGTTTCTTATAAGAGTTTTCTTTTATTAAAGGGCATGCTGAAGGTTAAAATTAGTGTGACAAAAAATTTTTAAAAACTAAAGCTGTGCCATTCTATCCATTTAAATACCTGTTTAAGTGTTACAAACAATAATAGTATAAAAAAATATTTTTTTTATGAAATCATGAAGCCTTTTTATTACCTTGCGTCTACGCCTATGGCTACTATGTTTATTGAAAAATTTAATTGCTCATCCTTAACTTCATTTGTCACTGTTATTAATTATTTTTTAAACAGGTATGAGCTGTTGAGCTCTATTATTTTAATAAGGTATTCATTTTATTTTACAGCCAATTTTAATCAAATAAACAATTTATACGTAAGTACGCTGCGTAAACAGATAAGTACCTAATCAAAATGACCCAGTCACTTTTTCAGATTTTAATTCGTCTATTCTATTTAATTTGGAGATTGTCTCGTTTAAACAAGAAATAGGATCAAACCTGTACTTCCATACAAGTCGCAGTGTGTCGTAACAAGTAAAATTTAATCTACACGTCCAGATAAGGTAAATGATTTGTTTTATTTGTGATTGTAATTATTATATTGTCCTGTCAATTTGAAATTGATGTGGCGTTTGCGCACAGAGGAGCGAAATAGTTGGCGGTGAGTCGGTAAGATGGCGCACGGTTTGAAAGGTGAAAGAAAGGCATATGGCGTACGTTTCTATTTTTGCTAATTCAAAGAGATTTTAATAGTATATTATGCGTGTTGTGCGTATACAAGTTTGAAAGTGATCGTTCTTTATATTTTGCTGCGTTATACAAGCATTTTCGATTGGGATATTACCGTAACTTCTACATGTCCGTGTGCGTATGTTAAGTTTTTGTTGACGAAATAACGAACTGTGATATTAAGCTTAGTTGTATATTATATAGGTTTTCCTTTATACAATTTCGATTATTTATTGTACAATTAGGATTAGGTGTATAGTTAGTTGATTAATTAACTAAAAGTGTGACCAAAGAAAATTGTGCTATGTCGCTGACACAAGCGTCAGACACAGAGAATATGCAGGTGAAGATTAACTTGAGTGACAAGCAGTCTAAAAATGGTAAGTTTCATCCCTATTCTGTCAATTGCACCCATTTACAATAGCCTTCGCTGTATTATTTCGCCTCATTTTATCAACCCCATTCACAATAATCGATCTCTTTTTGTACGCGTAAATATTCGGATCCGTTTTAGCCGACCTGATTTCCCTCCTTCTAAATTTCGCCCAGAAACCAGAAACGTCCCCCTGCTTGCAATTGTTGCTTTCAATGTCAAAAAAAAAACAAAAACTTCTCGTTTTCTACGCCTACTGCTACCCTTGGAAGTTCGTGTTGTGTATAGTATAACTATCATATGATTTAGAATGTTTATCTTAACTGTAAGCTGATAGTAACAAGGTAAACAATAAGTTCCCAAATGTTTATAAAGTAGTATTTACTCATAACCAAACAATTCGTATGCGTACCGCCAAGACCTCGCATTTCAGTAGTAGAAGAAATATGCTAATTTCTTTAGACGTTTAACATAAAATTTGCAATTTTTGTTCAATAATACGCACAATGCTTCGGTACAGAATGATGCCCATTAGGTACTGCATCGATTTGGTTATCAGCTACTTGATATGTAACAAAAACTTCCATTGTGATTGTTTAGACTGTTCAAAACATATAATTGATTAAATTCTTCCCTTAGTTCTAACCTAAATTTTGGTACAGTCACCATTTTGAAAGTAAGCCGTCTAGCTTATGTAATTTTTTTTGGGCGAATTCGAGGATGAATCGCTGGACCTAGGTCAGGACTGCGGGGGGAACGCATGAGTAATTGGCACCATTCCACACTGGTGGTGATATTTATTTCACTGCATGAGTTTGTGGGGCGTCGTTCTAGACATATTTTCTGCGATAGTGTTCTTATGTAAAGGGTCACATTAGACTGTTCCCGAATCCCGATCTGATGGTTGGCCGTTGGCAACGGATTTTAGGGCAAGGGCGGGCGTACAGGAATGGGAAAATATATAAAAAACGACATGAAATGGCCAATAAAATATAACCGATACAGTTGCAGCAGGCATTCTAGTCGTGTTTCATTTGGTCGTTAAAAATCTGTCGGGAAAATTGGTTAGATTTAAATTTATTTACTTTTACTTCATCGGGGCTATTAACTTTGTTCATATACATGTGATTTTTTTTTAAATTTAAGCCTAAAAATTAATTAAACACCTCTAGGTAGATATAAAATGTCAAATTTTCCAAATCTTTATTTAACATCGTAACTCTAATATTAACTGAGATATGGTATCTCACTGAGATACCAATAAGCAGTTCGAATTTTAGACATACTGTAGGTATATAGAGCGAATCGACAATACCGTGAAAATTTAAGAATATTTTCTTATACAGGATGTAACTAAAATTCTTGCCAAAGTTTAATGGCGGATTCTACATCACAACTTTCATTCAAATTTGGCATGTAGCTTTAATTTTTGATTGTTTACGAACGTTTATGTGTACTATAGGATGTAGTTCCAGGGGCGGACATAATAATTTTTGTTCATAATTTTTTTCTTCCAAATTATTTCAAATTTGGCGCGGTTATGATATAACACTAAGCCTGGATCCACATGTACGCGTGATCACGGATCCGTTGTAGCCACGTAACCATCAACATCCAATTGTGCATCAGTATCAGCGACTTGACATTCCGTCAAGGTCAAAACGGATTGGATGTTGATTGTCACGTGGTTACAACGGATCCGTGATCACGCTTGCATGTGGATCCAGGCCAAAGGTAAACATAGGTAAATATATGGAAACCAGCAGATCTACTCCGTTGACGGCACTTTGATCTCATTCGGCCATTTTCGGTGTCCTTGGATAGGGAAGCGCGGATCAGGGTCGTAATAAGAATTTTTTTGTATGAGAGCGTATTAAAATAGATAATACCTAATTTTGGTAAATATATGATTTAAAAATACTAAATTTATTTGAAAAATTGATTATAGTTTTATTACTACTTCGCGATCTTTTTTTAATCGCCTTAGGTAGTTTATTCGCTATTGTTAGTGGCAACATGTTATATTATAATTATAGAAAGTTATAATATGATGCGTCGTTTGCTGATTCTCAAATAAATGATTGTAAATCTCTAATAATAATTAGTATACTTAAATACATTTTACTTCAAAATGTTAAATGTATTAATATTGACAAAATATAAAATTATTTGTGCCATTCTAGATTTTAGTAAAGCATTTGATCTTGTAAACCATCATTTATTTCTCCACAAACTGTCTTCATGCGGTAAAGGGCAAGGTTCATGAATTTTAATTTCATATCTTTCAGGTAGAAGTCAAATTGTAGAAATAAATAATTGTAAGTCTGATAAATTAAGTTTAGAATACGGGTTACCTCAAGGTTCAGTCCTTGGACCCTTGCTGTTCATTATTTTTATAAACGACAATCTTGTTAATCCAGAAAATTTGACATCATTTTTCGCTGATGCAAGGTTAAAGTATCTTGAATAACTAGGAATTGGCGAGGGAATTGGTTTAATAATAATGTTCATTGTAAATGTTTCTAAAACAGGATTTATCATATTTAAAACAAATCCTCCAAAAGAACCGAGAGTCGATTATTAATTGTGTCTAAAATGTCTATTAACTAAGAAAATACTGTTGTCATATTATTAAGCTCATTTTTGTTTATTTTAGAATAAGATACAGTATATTATTTTTGAATCTTCATTTTAGATGTTAAAAGTTTTACATACAAAAGAAAATAGTTAGGAATATAACCTTAGTAAATAAATATCATTCATGAAAGAATTTATTTAAATATTTTATATTACCTACCGTATCATGTAAGTTTATAAGAACTTCAAGTGGTATTTCCTATTTACCACTGCCATGGAACGCTATCCTATTTCTAATTTTCATAATTTTGAATGCCGCTTGCGGCTTTGAATAAACCGTAGAGCATTTGAAATAATAAATTTAATTGTTATGGTTACTTTAAATTCGTTTCTAATTAATGTACCTATTTCTTTTAATTATTTTTGTGCGAATCACCCTGTATAAGATATTCATAAATTCCGGAAATTGCCCTATATGAGTATGTATGACAATACTAAAGGAATTAGTAATAAAGGATTTGTAGTTAGAACGCGATAGAAAACACCGACATTATCCCTTTTTTTTGGTCTGCTTTTTTTGCAAAGGTGGCCATCTTCTTCATTTGTTCGCAACGATCTCGACTGTTTCGCTCGAATGTCGTGCTGGACACGTGCATAGAGAATACTTGACAAAATTAATACGGACAAATAATCAACGCGATTTTGTAATCGATTCCGTTTTGTTGTATAATTCGTTTTGATAGAAACCGTTTTTGTATCAACGTTTTTCCCTTTTCGTGACGTGCTGCCGGAGAATCCGAATTTGTCCACGTGGTGGTGAATTTTTTCGTCGTTAACATTTCGTGTTTTAGTCTGTTCTTTTTTTTTGTTGTTTCGGAAATTTTTCAGGGGCGAGTAAAAGTTTTAAAAGTGTTTTTAGAATTTGTTTCTATAATTACGCGTAAGGTCGTTTGAATTGGGGTGAAGATGGCCAAAACCAAGGGCAATAGTAAGAAGCCAAAGGGACGGTCGACGCCTACTCCGACGTACTGGCACGCAAATTTCGTGCAGAACCGGAAGAGGCAGCAGAAACCGCGCGTGAAGAGGGTATCTTGGAGTAAGTCGTTTCTCGTTCGTAAAATGTCTTTTGTACAATATGCTTCTTAAGTAATGTAGGGAGTAGATTCTAATTCTAGACATATTACAGTTTAGCTAAACTTGCCTTATTGTTAGTCTAAAAATTGATATTTCCTTTAAAGACACATTTGATTAAAAAATATATCTTTTTGCGAAAATTTCTAATAACTTCTACAGTTGCTGAGATATCGTTATCAGATTTGGTATCGGAGGGTTTTTGGGGATGCCAAATTTAAATATATATATTTAAGGTTATCTAGTAAAATGCGTCGTACGTAGTACCTTTGTTGTAAAAAAATTGCTATAAATGTAAAAATGGCAGTTTAAACCTATAGGTATACTGAAAAATGACACCTTGTGAATTTGTTCTTGTTGTATCTTTAACCGCTTTCCAGATATTTAAATTTCAGAAATTTAATGCACAAACTAATTTTTATCTTTTTATATTATGCAATTTAGACAAGTAAATTATGAACTAAAAGATTTATTAAATAAAATCGTTCAGTTTGAGCCAAGTTGTGGAAGGTTTGCGATTATTTTGTATTGATGTAACTTGAAACAACTTTTTCTCTTATTATTCAGGGATTTTTATACATTTGGGAATATCTGGGAATTTTTCCAATTTCATATAATTTTTTGAAATTTTGTTTATAAGCAATTTTTATTTATGAGGTGCTGTCACACTAGATGTTATGATTTTTTTAATTATAATTGTAGAAATAAAAAATGGCAAAATATATATTTTTTCGTAACCAAATAAATATACTATTCATGTATTATAAAACCAAAAAAAAAAAACAGAAAATCAACATAAAGTTGATACTAAAAAGAATTGAGAAAATGGCACTTTTAAATTATGTACCTATTTTCAATTACATAAATTGTGTTGCATTTTGTATTTTTTATGATATGCACATATTATAAGTTGAATTAATGCTTTTCCCAATTAAAAATTTCACATATTTTTCGAAAAATTTTGGTAATTTTTAAATCTTGATTTGTTAAAGTGTATCCAGTTTCTCAAAAACCAAAAATTTTCCAACTCTGTTAAATATAGAAAAGCAAAATTTTTTTCTAAATCATAACTAGAACTGTTTCCAATTTGCTACTAATTTTATTTTATATTTGTTAAATATTTATGTGGAAGATGCTGACAAAAATGAGAGGAGGTGGTTATTGAAAAATGGAAACTGATACAGAGCTTACATTTTCACAACCTAAAAAATTTGCAAATCTGCTAGGAAAACCTGGAAATATTGAGGAATTTTTTTCTGGTCAAAATTTGGTATACAGCCTGATTCTTTGTAAGACACATATTTTCCAAATCCTTGGATAGGTGGAGGATGTGATATACATTAGCCACCACGTTGCCCTAACTTGAGTCCTCTTGATTTTCGTTTCTAGAGCAATAATTAGGTCAGTGCTTTATTGGAATCCTATTTATACTTCAGCAGAATCATAATGAACAATTTAAAGTGCTGTGACCTGCTTTAAACTTTCTACTTCTTTAAATATTTTAATATTTTTGTACAAGCATTGAATGATAAGTAATTGTGTTGAAAATTAATCAAATTTGATTTAATGTGTCCACAGAAACAGAAATCAAGAAGATTAAGATTGGGGGAAGGCAATGGCCAATTCATATCACTTTCCCTGCCTATTCAACTATTCGGAAAATGCGTGATTGTCTAGTTATGAACATTCAACAATAGACAAAAAGTAGTTGCGAGACATATTAATTAAAATTAGTGATTTGGTTACTTTCTAGACGCTAGATGGATGAAAAAAATATGCAAAAAAATTGCTTTAACTTTTTACGTAATAAATTGGACCAACGTTGGTTAAACCTGATTGGGTAAAAAAATAATTTGTTTGTGAATTTTGTCCCTTTGTTGCTGTTTTACTCTTATTACACTGTGTCTTGGGTCACCCGGTACACTTTGTTGAGTATTCTTTAAAGACGTTTATTCTTTCTATTTTTCTCCGTTTTGTTCTTTCAAAAGTATAAATTGTACAAATGGATTGATCTATTCCTGTGTTAAAATCCGTATTTCAACAAGATATACATACTTATAAAATTTAAAATACCAAAAATGTTGATTTAATTTATAAAGTAAAAAATTATTTATTTGCAATCTGGTGCAGAGATAAATATTTTCAATATCAAATTTATGAAAGTCAGATAAGGTACTTATTAATCACTGATATTGTGGAAATGAAGAAAATAAGTGTCCATTTTAGACTATTATTCATAAACATGTAAAAGTTTCCTTCAGTATGTATTTATTTTTTTCTACAGTTTCTTTTTGTTAATCTCTGTTATTTTACAAATTTTTTAACTTGTGCTACTCTATCTCTATAAAGATAATATTTAATAAAGCTTTTAATCTGCTGAAGCCATCAATTTCTTACCCCACTTCTGATGTTTTTCCAGGAGATGAACGAATCGAGGGAATGAGTGTGTCTGACATGCCCGAGTTTACAGACCCAGCTATACTGGTAGTTCGAGAAACCGTCAAAATCCGGTACACAAAAGAGGAACTGGTGGTGTTAAGGGAATCCCCGCTGTCAAAGAGGAAACCGGACTCTTTCGATATATCTGAAGTGTAAGTAAAATCCAGTTAGAATTTTAATGTTTTTGAAAACAATTTTTCTCCTCTCCAGTCCTCCATCGATATTGGACCCCGAACGTTGGAACATCGAAAAGAAGAAATCCGACACTCCGACTGAGAACGGGTCTAGAACCGGAGACGGCCCGGAGCATAGGCGACGACCCGGGGATCCGAGGGAACGTCTGAGGAAGGAGAACGACGGCATCGTCTTGAGCCCTCAGCGGCGTAGCTTCAATTCCGGTTGTTTTGTGCCAGTAAGGGAGACGGGGCGCTCTAATAGGTCTCACAGCCCTCTCAACGGCAAGAATGAACCTTCACATGTCGGTGAGTGGAAGGAACAACGTTTCTTTTATATTTTGTTTGTTTTCCATATTTTTTTTTTTACATAAATACAAATACAAACTGTAGGTGTCCGCGAGATACAGACCAGTACCAGGCGTATAGGTAGCGGCCGCATCCTGCGTGAATCTTGGGACTTCAACGAGAAGTCAGAGCAAGCCGATGGCGACTTTAGCTTCAGAGGCCAGCAGCGTGACGAGAAATATGAGAGGCGCAGCTTCGGCAGGGACTTTGAGATTACCAGGGAGAGGGAGAATGGTGGAAAGGAGGGGGGAAGGCGCAATGGACGCTTTGAGCGTCGCCGCATCTCCGAGAATAGAGAACAGGAGGAGCCCGAATGGTATATAAAAATTCATCTAGAAAAACCCCGCTTCTGATCCTTGTGCCCAGAATTGAAAGTGTGTTAAATTTTCAGGTTCTCTGGTGGGCCGATGTCCCAGAACGATACCATTGAGCTGCGCGGCTTCGACGAGTCTGACAAACCGGGCGCCAAAAAGAAACTGTCTCCATCCAGAGTAAAGCGTGCGAAGGAATGGTCCAAGAAGAAAAACGGACCACAGCCGGGCACAGCGGAAGAGAAAGAGGAGCCCAAAGGAGCCGTGGGGCGGTCCACGCCTACTCCGCAAACCGGTACGGAAACCGAACAGTCCCAGAAACCGCAAACTAAGCCAACGGAGCCAATAGCAACGACCAGTGAGGCTGAAATTAAACCGGGCGAGTCAGGAGCAGCACACGACCAGTCGTTCAACTTCGACGATATTTTGAAGTGCGATACTTTTCCGGGTTTGCTTACGGTAAGTTGCAGTATATATTACTGAGCATTTTTTTTATGGTACCTTTTTTTACAGAATGGTGTGGGTGGCGACGGCGACAACATGAAGTCCCGCTTCAGTCGTTGGTTTAAACAGGAGAGCCCCGAGAAGGCGGAGAGCCGACGTTCCTCCATGCAAGAAGACCACCACATCATCAAGGACCTGCTGAAGGATATCGGCGAGACCAACGTGTCCATACCGGGCGATTCCGAGGCTTACTTTGCCCCCATATCGCCCGCAGGCAATACCGGTGGTGTGATCGGAGGGAAGCGGTCCAGCGGTGCCCAGTCGCAGCCTATCAACATCATGGAGATGCTGCAGAGGGGCAAGCACCAGGGGGATAACGCCGCCGTTAAGCAGCCGCCACGTGAGTAGTTCTTGTGCGAGGCTTTGCAGGATCGACGGAAGATGTTGTAATTATTTTCAGAATTCCCCGGAAAAATACTGAGCTTGGACGAACTGGAGGCCAAGATGCGGCAGAATGCCGACCTATCGGCGTCGATGCCACAGAAGCACCAGCAGCAGAAGCCGGACGAGGAGATGACTGCCGCGTTTAAGAAACTGGTAAGAATACTGCCAGCCTCTTTTTCTTTTTCTTTTTTTGTTTTTTTTTTGTTCTTATTATCTGCAGTGTTCTTTTTCACATTTCTATTTTCCCATTGTCGTTGGTGAATTGGTTGGTACAGGTTTTGTTGTGGTTCTTGGTGATTTCTATGTCTTTCTTGGTTCAACTGCTTTGCTTCTTCTGAATTACCGTTCTCTATTTCGTAAAGGTTATTCATTTCGCACATTTGATTTTTTGTGTCATTTTTTTTTACTTTTCTCATCCCAGTTTTTTTTTGGTTGGTACTCTTTTATTGTTGTTTTTTTTTTATGTGGCTTTTGTTTTACTATTTATATTTTATTTGGTATCGGCAATTGTTATTTTTTTGGTTTTCTCGGCCTATTTTAATATTTTGAGTATTTTTTTTTTTCTGGTTGTTGTTTTTTCTTGTCTGTGGTTGGTTTTTGCGCTTTTGAGCATTATTTTTTTTTTTGTTTGGCCTTGTTTTTCGGTTGCTATGGTCTTTTCAGGCCGGTCCTTTTTTCGGTTTTGTAGGTGTTGGGGGGTGTTCCTTTCGGTTCTTCTTGGGTCTCTTTATACTTTGTGTGTTTGGCTTTCTTTTTTCTCTCACAGATTATCGCTTATTTTGATTAGTAAATGCTTACTGGCGTTGTTTTCTGTTGTTTATATGGTTTTTTCGATATTTTCATGATATTTACTTGTTTTTTTACTTTCTACATGTTTTATCTCGTATTTTTTTTTTTTTAGGTTGTCGGTTGTTCCAGGTTTTTTTTCTACTTTTTGGTCGAGCTGTCCTATCCTGAAGTCGTGGGCCTTTATTCTTTTAGACGTTGTTTCTTTGTTCTCATATTTATCTGATAACTCATAATTTATTTGTTTTTGCATTTTCTTCTTTTCTTTTTTTACTTTTTTGCCATTTTCTTTTTTGTTTATTATTTGTCTTCTCTTTTTTTTATTATGTCTTTATGGTTTTTATCCAGAGGTTCCAAGGTGTTGGTTTGTGTATTCAGTCTGTTTTGCTTTTTTTTGTTTTTCTATCGTTTTTTTGTTTTTTTTTTATGGTTTCTCTTACAATGTTTCTTTGGTGTTTACTGTTTCACTTCTCTATTTTTCGTTAAAATATTGCTTTGTTGTCTCTTTTTTTGTAGTTTGCTCGTTTGGCTTTTCGTTTTTCTTTTATTCTTTTTGTTTACTTGGAAGGTTTACTTGTGTTTTTCACTCCCCTTTTTTGCTTTTTTATGTTTTTTGCTGGATGCAACTTTGATCTAGGTTTTTTTTGGTTCTATTGTTTGTTTTTGTCTCTACATTCTCTGGTACTATTTTTGCTACTTTCTTTCACCACGCCCTGTAGATTGTGTACTTTTGCCCTTCTTTGTCTGCACTATTTTATGGTGTTGAAATCTTGTTTATTGTTATCCTACTCGCTAAAAAGTTAAATCTTTTCAGTTTATTGGTTCACCTTTCTTAAAATGCAACTATAGACTAATATAATAATTGCTTACGGGGTGTTTCAGTAAGAATGAGATTTGGATTAATGGGAGATTTCTTAGTGCAGAATACGTTATTGGAGTAAAATACTTCTATCAGATCCTTGTCACAAGGTGGCAAGGTTAAAAAAATATTCAAATTTTGTCCCTATTTTGAAAACCAAACGGAAATTTTCGAGAGATAAGTTTTAGTTCTTTTCTGTTTATTTGCCAACTGTGAAAAAGAAAATTTAATTATTTTTTTACAAAATTAATGAAATAGATCCCCTTGGTGCAAGGGTTTATTTTGTTAATTTAAATTTTTTTCACGGATGGCAAAATACCCAAATAGAGTAATTTTTTTTTAGGGTTATATTTTTTAAAATAATATTAATTTCGCATTTACGAGGGTTGCGTTTTATATTTCGTGACTAGAGAAGAAAAAAAAATCATACATGACTAGTTTTTCAAAATATTCTCCATGATACGCTTGAACCAATTTTCGAAGCACTTTTCTCATTCCGATTGAGGTACCTCCAAAACATACATTTTGAATACATCAACTTCTTCAAGCGTCGAAAAACATTACCTCGTAATTTATTTTGGATGTGCGGGAATAAAAAAAAGTTGGGTGCCAGATCAGGGCTGTACGGAGGATGACTCATCAATTCGATCAGTTCTGAAAAAGTCTTGTTTAAGATGAGAGCTTGCATTGTTCTGGTGGAGAATGATGTGCATTTGGTGGTCGGTTTCTCTCATTTTTCCGAAGAATTCTGGCAAACAAATGGTTGTTTATCATTCAGAATTGACCGTCCAATGTTGCACATATGGTACAGTTACTAAATGTCTGATAGGCGACCATTTGCTTAGAAGAGCTTAATGCACGAACAACTTTTATTGGATTTGGCTCATCTTGAAAGTCCGATACAGTCGACTGCTATTTACTTTTGGGCTCATACGCATAGATCCATGATTTGTCACTTGTTACGATGTTGTAGACGTGTTTTGAAGCACCGCGATCATATTTTTTGAGCATTTCGTTTGACCAATCGACACAAGCCTTTTTTGAGCGTTTGTCATATTATTGGAATCTAAAGCGGAACAAATTTTTTTGCGGGCAAAATGTTTATGCGATTTTGAATGTCTACCGGCCCCACTAATGCTCAAGGATGCCTCAGTCTCACGATAAGTTATATGACTTTCTTGCAATTTCAGTTCATGCATATCGTCAATGTTTTGTGGAACAACAATCGATTTTGAATGACCTTCACGAAATGCATCAGTGAGTGAATCATAGCCATGATTGAATTCTGTATATCACCGATATTCGGTGGTTTATAATGGTGCTTGACCTCCAAAAGTCAGACTAAGTTCATACATGCACTGTTGTTGAGATAATATCGAGGGTTTCCCGCCAGAAGGGCGTATCAACCAAAACATTATTTTTCAGGATCTACTAAAAATGTTTCAAAAATCAGTAGTAAAATTTAAGAGTTTGTTTATTACCTTACGTAACTGTTGATTAGTATATTTATCGCATATTATTAACTGCTTAGTGAATTATTTGAGAACAACAGGTACAAACTTGACTAGGTATTTTAACTTGTAACTGAAGAGTAACCGTATGTAAACACACAGAAAAATTGAGGTTATGAACGCCAACCAACTCGACGCATACTTGTGAATGCCATGAAATTTTGTCATGCCAGAAAGCCATATGTTTATACGAGCTAGAAAATATATGTACAGTTTCGCTATAAAGGGACGTATACATACAATTTTCTGCCAGGTTATTCGAGGTAATAATTGTTCATACGACCAAGAAAAGGATTGCGTGGCGCTGTTATTATTGGTGTGGTAGGTAGATACGACTTTTTGTCGCGACAAACTTATGGTATTGAGTGTCAAAGTTAGTTCATAAACCCAGAATGGCACTTTTGTGGATACGTCCTTTTGGCAGGAAACGCTTGATATATATTTAAAATTATTAAAAAATCAATCTTACGGAAATGTTCACTACTTAATTCCATTTTTTTTTGTTGCTGTAAACTACACAAATAGCGTCTATATGTCAAAACGTTCTAAGTCAGTATAATGACAAAAAGTCGAACTTTACGATAGGGATGTCGGTTGTCATATGGCAGCACCAGGATTGCCCACTCCCAAATTATAATAGGGAACCCTCATATCAGTAAAAATCTTTAGTTTCCCCTTACCGATGGAGTAAATAATTATGATCTAAACTTGGTTGTCCTTCATTTTTCTACAATCTGGATAAAAGAGTGAAAACCGACTAGTAGGGCTGTTAAATTTCATTAAATAAAAATAAAAAAGAAATAAGAAATTTTTAATTTTCTGTGAAATAAATTTAATATATTTCAAAAAAACTTGAATTTTTCATAAATATCTGAAATAATTTAAATATTTTAATATAGCTAAATTAATTATTTAATTTCGTTAAATGTATTTTCACTGTAAAAAAATATAATTACTGTGTTTTAAAAACTTCTAAATTAGTATTTGAAACCTTAAAAAAAAACTTCACTGCCTCACAACACTAAATTTGAATAAAATTGGTTACATTAGCTGAAAGATGAAAAACGGAATTATTTTCAATATAAATTTTTTTTTTATCTTTGCACGTTAAATGAAGGATATTAAAAAAAATTGTAGTTTCTTTTCAATAATTTTATTGTAATTGAGATGATCCACCAAAATGAAAAAATATATATGAAAGTCAAAAATGCCCAGATAAGTGTCTACCAATATTTCAACAATTTGTCTAGAATTTTATCTCTTGATTGGATAAAAAAATTTCAAATTGGTCTTATTCCTAATTTAACTTGCTTCTTATTTCACATCTTGTTGCAGTTTGACATACAGGAAAATAAAAAAATTGATGGGTTTTTTTTGTCAATCTGAAAAACAAAAATTTTTTTAATCATTTGCTGAAATATTTGATAGACACAGTGGTTTTATAAATACAGATGATTCATTAACGTTACTGTAAATTGAAAAACGGCAGCATCCGATTAGGCCATGTTTTACTTCTTCGCCCTATTTCGACCTTGGCTATCTCCCATTGATCCACGTCCCATTTCTAACAAAACACTACGTATACTTGACGTGTCTGTCTTCAAAAAAAAAAAGACGAAAACCCTCTTTCAGATGCTGAACCACTCGCAGCAGCAGGACGAGGCGGCTCGGATGTCGGGCAACTCGCACCTTCTTGGTGCCAGCAACCCGAGCATTACAGGCCTGCACCACCACGCCGCCGACCTCACCATCAAGCTGCAGGCACAGTTGCAGCAGAAGCAGCAGATGGAGATGCTGAACAAGCTGATCAATGCTACGGTGCACCCCCAGCAGATGAGGACGTCTCCCCTGCAGGACATGGGCATGCAGCAGAGCAGGGAGCTGCTCAACAGGCCTGAGGCGCAGGCTATCTTGCAAGGTAGGTGGGGTTGTGCGTGCTGGATGTTTAGGTTGAGAACGAGTGATTCTGGAGCAACTTTTCGAAGTTTTCAAATGTGTATTCCAAGTTGTATTGGTGCGGATGAAGAGAATCGTGGGATTCCTACAAGTTTTACATATTGTTTTTTCAGAGTTAGCAATTCTGTTTCTCACCGTTAAATTTTTACATGTTAAATTTTTTACCTTTAACAAACTTTTTAAATATAAATTATGAATTTAAATTTAACACGATTGCTAATGCCAAGGTAATTTTGGCAAGTTAAAAATAAAATGGAGTAGTTCAAATGTCTTTTAGTTGCAGATTTTGGTAATATGAATTAACAAATATTAAAATTTTTATATTATATGGAAATATCTCTCATAATTCAAATTAATTGATAAGCGGGCAATGATTTTGTATATTCTCTGATTTTAAGGGTTACATATATATTTTATTTTTTGTAAATCACATTTATATCAAGAATAATGTATATTTATTTTAGGAGGGTAAAAATTTGATAAAGTAGTTCAAACGTCTCAGTTTTAGTTTGCAGGTTTGTAATATTTAAAATTAAAATTCCTATTTTCCACAGTAGAAATACGTTTTTTAACTATCAAATTAATCGATACATATAACTGATTTATATCAAGAATAATTTATATTTTAGCAGGTTTTTAAAAAATTTTTACAATTTGTTTCATGGCATACCTACTGTTTTGCCTTAAATTTAAATTCCTAATTAGTATGTAAGTACTTAGAAGGTCTGTTAAAGTCAAAAATTTTAATGTTATTTCAAAATTTAATGCACGATACAGAGTTGCCCTAATAAATCAATATTTTTTTAATTCTGACTATTTGACTATTCGTATTTTAATGTAAGAAGTTTAGTTTTTCTCTTAAATTTAAATTTATTTCAGTTATGAATTAATCTAATTTTTCCTAAACTCCCAAATTTATTTTAGAAAAGTCTTAAATAGGTTTTCTCTGGTTGTAATTTTTCTAATCGTTCTCCAGCAATTTTAAGAATAGGGTTAAATATTCTGGTAGATTATTGAACTAAAACGTATTATATTTGATTTTTTTCCCCATCAAGGCCTGAAAAGGGGTGAGATAACCACCCAGCACCTGTACCAGCAGCTGGCCAATCCCGCGTTGCAGCCCCGCCATCGCGAGATGCTTGTCACTATTCTTAAAATGCAAGGCGGCGGTGCCGGGTACGGGCCTAGCCCCCGCGTGCTGAGCCCCGTGCCCCCTCACCATATGTTTCAGCAGCAGCAGCAACAGCAGCTGCGTGTCTCTCCTTTGCCGCCGAACGGTGAGTGTGGAATTGCCGATGCCGCTTTGAATTTGGAAACACGTTTTTCTCCTTTCCGTCTCTATTTGATTTTTTTTGTAGTGCTGTTTTCAAGTTAATTCTGCATTATTTTTGTCGTTTAGTTCTTGACGCTTTCGTATTTTGTTCGCTTTTGAATAAAACTCTTCGTTTTTGCATAGTGTTTAGATAGTGCATGTGCTTTTTTAACTTATCCATTTTTAGCGCATATAATCTTAAAGTTTTGTATTCCGCAAGGCATGCTTCTAGGATCTATTTGTAAATTTGTGCCGCAAATTTGTTGTGCTTTGTTTAGTTTGATGCTTTCGTTGTTTTCTTCCTTTTAATCGTTGTAGTTCCTTTTGGTGTATAATTATAAACGAGACTTTTTCAATTACATGCAGCTTATTGTGTATCTCCGATTTTGGCCACAAGCCCAAATACCCTCACGGTACCTGGTGAGTCCCAAACAGTATGCACATTCCAATTGTATATATTTTTTTTGTTATAAGCGGCAAATACAATTTAGTAAAAAATGAATGAAAATGTTGACTTTCTGTACACGATTTTCATGATAATATATTTTATACAGAGTGTAACTTTAAGTGGGGGTCAGTTTTTTTAGAGATAAAAGTATGTGCTCCCCAGAATTACTATACCAATCTGAAATATTTTTGTTTTTTGAATAGTTGAGTTATAATTCGTTTTTAAAACTGCACTCTTGTCTACACCGTCAATGGGCAGTTCCCGAACACAGTTGTATGTGCATATTTATTAATGTTGCCCGTTGTTTAAACTAACTGTATCAGACTAAGGGTGAGGCAAAGAGTGAAGCTACAAAGACTTTGTTCAGTGTTATTTTAGTCATTTCTTTTTATATCAATGCGGATGAGTTGCTAAGCATTAAAATAAAAATTCAATAGTTTTAAAAAAAAATTATATTTTCTGCGTGGTTTAATAAATAATATTAACTAATATTTGTATGTGGATAGCCAAACAATATTAATTGTAAGTAAAACTAATTTGTGATTTAAATAATTACTAGAAAGGTAGGCAAGTCCACTTGCGTGGACTACTTGACCTTTCTCTCGGGCCGCGCTGCGTGCAACTCGAACACCGTTCTTTGTGGGTTGGTGAATAAAATAATATATATCATTTTCCAAAAAAAAAAAGAAAAGAAAAAATGCGACTCGCCCGCGATCCCCAGACCTTCAGCTTCGCAGTCGTGAGTTTAAAAAATGAGCTACGGCGATCTAACGCTGGGTGGAGCCTACACGGGCTATTTGAAATGTTGGTTCTCCGCGAATGTAAACAGAAAATTGAAAATGTTCAAATCAAGTTTTGTCGCCAAAGTTGCATCTCTAAAAGATCGGAACCGATGCCTAACGGCAATGTAACGACTCACCATAGCCCGATAGTCCGGGAAAACGCGTCAAATGACAAAATTTATTTTGACGTGTGCACTAACGTTTGTCTCCATCTGTGTTTAAGTATCGGATATACTTTGGGTATCTGTCTCCCACCGAAAAAAGTTAATTTTCAGCGAGGACTCTTTAAAGTGGAAATTTCACATAGAAAGTGCAAACAGATCGCCTTCAAAATACGACGTTCGGATAAAGAAAGGACCGACGGGTCCTTGGGTCACCGTTGCACGGCTCATGAGGAAAGCCTTTGATAATACCGTACGCCTCTTTTCGGGGCCGAGTGTGGGAGCGAGAGTAACCTACAGCTTTTTTTATATATGGATTTTTACTATTTTATAAAATGTACATAAAATACTTGCAAATCTGATAGCTTCTCTAGAATATAAAAATTATGAAATTCTAAATGTCAAAGGTAGCTTTCATGTAATATATGACCCCTCCTCGTTCAAAGTCACTTCCTGTTTTCATGTAAAGCCACTTTGCCGGTAGATAACGCTTTTAAGGGTTTCTCATTGATCTTATATGGCTTCCGCAGCTATGCACCAGCGCATACCGTCTCCCCGTGAACTTCAGGTCCACACCCAGAATATCTTGCAGCGTGCACTGATCAAGAAGAAGCTGGAGGAACAACAGGAGAACTACCGTAAGAAACAGGAGATGCAGAGGGGCCAGAGTCCCAGCACCTCCAGCAGCGGTCAGGCTGTAGCCAAGAGCATCTCGTCACCTACACCCCTGGCCTTTACCCCCACATCCGTGCTAAGGAAGATGACTGCCGAAAAGGATGAGGGTAAGTTTTTTATCTTATGTACTTTCTTCATTATTATTTTTTAATCGTTACGGTTAGGAAAAGAAAATAAAACCTCAGCCGATTCTAAAGTGCCGCCAGGTCGTCCATTGACGGGCATGAGGCCCCAACCACCGCAACCGCAAGGACAGCAGTGGAACCCACAGTTCAACTCCATCAAGCAAGGTAAAGGAGATGCGAGCGCGGAACTATAACGAATACACTTTAATCTTCCAATTCAGCAGGTCGCCCGATCGTGAAGGCCAACACCAACTACCCGACCCAGACCGCCGAGCAGTTCTTCAGCCAGCACCAGCGCCAGCAGCGCATGTTCGCCCAGGCTCCGGCCGGTACTGCCCCGCAACAGCCCCAGCAGCCGCCCAAGCCTTCAGGTGCCGCCCAGTTTGGCGGCAGTCAGGCCCTCAACGGACCAGGTGGCCCCCAGGCACAGTACAATTCCCAACAATATCCGTCTAATCAACCGTTCGCCCAACAGCTGACCCAGCAACAGCTGCGCGCCCAACACCAGCACAGGCCTGCCAATCCCCAACAGCAACAGGGACAACAGCAGCAGCCGGGGTTCCCACCCCAGCACCAGGGCAGCCAGCAGATGGGGGTGTCCTGGCAGCAGTTCTTTAATTCCACACAAGGTAAGGATTTGCACACAAAACATTTGAACTGCTGTTTGAAAAGCACAATTGCATCTGTAAATTTGTAATTGGCGACAAATTGTAAATTTACTTTAGTGACATTAAACTTGTATTTATCGAGTAAATCTGGTATTAGTTACTGTCAATTTTTAGTTTCTAACTGTACATTTGGAGTTATCGACAGTACATTTGCAGTTACCGACCGTAAATTTATTTTAGCGACAGTAAATTTATAATTGTCAAATGTAATGGCACGTTTTTCGAAGTTCTCTTGTAATAGCATCTGTAAATTTTGCACGTATCGGTAAATTTGTAACTGACAATTGTAAATTTGAAGTCGCCAACTAAATTTATTTTAGCGGCAGCAAATTTGTAGTCATTATCTGTAAATTTCGTGTTAGCGATTGTACTTCGTTAGTTTTCAACTGTAAATTTACTGTCAGGGACTGTAAATTTGTAGTTGCCAACTGTAATGGTAGCAGTTCTTTAACTCCACTCAAGATAGGAATTTTTACATAAACTGCTTGAACTGCTCGAAAAAAGTTTGAATATATGATTGCATCTGTAAATTTGGAATTAGCGACAAATTGTAAATTTACTTTAGTAACATTAAACATGAACTTATCAAATAAATCTGGTATTAACTACTGTCAATTTTTAGTTTTTAACTGTAAATTTGAAGTTACCGACTGCACATTTGTAGTTACCAGCCATAAATTTATTTAAGCGACAGTAAATTTGTAATTGTCAAATGAAATAGCACATTTCTCGAGGTTCTTCTGTAATAGCATCTGTAAATTTTGCACATATCAGTAAATTTGTAATTGACGATTGTAAATTTGAAGTCACCAACAGTAAATTTATTTAATAGTAAATTTGTAGTTACTATCTGTAAATTTGGTACGTTGTTAATTTTCAACTGTAAATTTACTGTTAGGGACTGTAAATTTGAAGTTGACAGCTGTTGACTTGAGACAGTAAGTTTGTAGTTGTCAAGTGTAAATTTGCCATTAGAGGCAGTAAATTTATAGTTACTATCTGTAAATTTGGTGTTAGCGATTGTACATCGTTAGTTTTCAACTGTAAATATACTGTTAGGGATTGTAAATTTGAGGTTGACAACTGTAAATTTACATTTAGACAATAAGTTTGTAGTTGTCAACTGTAATGGCAGCAGTTCTTTTAACTCCACTCAAGATAGGAATTTTTGCATGTACTGTTTGAACTGCTCGAAAACAGTCTGAATATTTAAATGCATCTGTAAATTTTGCACATGATCATAAATTTTGTACATATATCTGTAAAATTGCAATTGACGATTGTAAATTTGAAGTCGCCAACTGTAAATTTACTTTAGCAACAGTGAATTTGTAGTTACAGACTTTAAATTTGGAGTCAGCGAATATAAATTTTTGTGATGTGAAATTGTTAACTGCAAATCAGCTGTTAGTAACAAAATTTTTAGTTGCCAAGTGTAAATTTGCCATTAGCGGCTGTAAATTTGTAGTTGGCGACTGTAAATTTAGCTTTTTGATCATTTGCGAAATTTGGTTGTAAGTAGTTTTCTGTGACGTGCAGCCAACAGAAGCAGCAACCTGGCGGGCAGGGGCGGCATGAATGATGGCGATCTCTCTCCGACTACCAACCAGCTGGCCCGCTGGTTCTCCCCTGATCTCTTGGAGCGTGCACGTGGCGGGGAGCTGCCTAGCACCGCAGGCCTGGCCCAACACGCGCTCAGTCTGGAGGAGATCGAGCGGCAGACAGCGCCGCCCGTCCACAACTAATCTCAAAAACTATGTACCTGGACTCTCTCAAATCGATCTTACTATATAACACCTTATGGTAAGTGTCGGGCTGGCGCCTCATTTTTCCTTTTGTTTTTTTGTTCTTGCGATGTTCCTTGAGGCTTGGCTGTCCCCTTGGATGTGTTTGTCCTATGTTGTATAGTAAATAATAAAAGTATAAGTTCCAAGTGGTTGTGGCTCTTTGTTTTATTTTTGAGAGTGACTGGATCTTGGCTGAAACTTTTCCCATTTTTAAGTTCGTGTTTAGAACGTTGTGATATTTTTTAAAGAAAGGAATCGTTTCAGCCGTTTGTTGTTAAGGTTAAGTGAGTGTTTGTGCGTGCATTGTTGTTTTCGTGTTGTAACAAAAGTTTAATATGTGAGAAAGTAAAGAATTTTTCTCTTTCAGGTAATGTCAGTCAACGACTTGGTGTATTTTAGTAAACAAAAAAAAAATATTTTAAATGTCTCAAGAATATTTATTCGTCTTAGATGACTCGTCAATTTTTCTCTAAAAAAAAAAAAATTGAAAACTCGTTCCAATGAATTTAAACACAGTTAGCCCCAAAAGTTTGTACATAATGGAGTAAAGAGATTATGGAACAGCGTTGTGATAGCACTGGGAGCGATGAATTTATTGCAAGATTTTTCAATTGGGGAGGGTGTCGGGACAATTTCCTTTGTGCCAGTTCGGGCACCCTCTCGAAAATGGTTACGACGCTCGCCGTAGAAACTAAATTGTCTGTGTGGTTAAAAAAACGTCCGCGTCCTTTCAAACTGTAGGGAAGTTATGCCTAGGAGGAAATTAAGTTGTTTAGAGTGTACCATTTGATTTTTCGGTTTGATGTTGAGGAATTTTTTGTTTGATTTTGGTGTTAAAGTAACCGAAGCGGCCGTAACCATTTCCGTAATCGTATATATAACGTACAATGTAAAGAAACATGAAATGTATCAATATTGTAAACTACAGAACTGATTTTAAAGTCGTTTCCTTATATATATTTGTTTCTTTTTTTTTTGAGGAATTATTTTTATTCTTTTATAATGGAAGCGGCATGTAATTTCTTGATATGGAGTGCTTCCGTTATAAAAAAATTTGTATTAATCGTTTGCCATCGCAACACATTCCTATTATGATTATACTGTATCGCTCGCAAAAAAAAAGAGCTTCAAGTGTAAGATATCTGTTCTTGTTTCGGAAAATGGTCATTCGAAAGTGATGAAAATGTAAAACTGTAAATCTGTTGAGATTCTTTATTGGACCTAGTCAGAACTAGTTTTTCAAAAAAAAAATAAAAAATCGAACAGACTCGAGAAATTGTTGAGGAATGAATTCGAAAGAAATTATTGTTACAACTATTCCATCAGCCTCTACTGTAAACATTATTTTGTAAATAAAGGGAATGTCAATCATAATGACATACTTTTGTTTGAAGATTAATTAAAGAGCAAAAAATAGTGGCAGTTTTATTTTATTCCATCCCCGATAACATTTATTTCATATTAGCAATAAGAAAACGATAAAACAATAAAATGCTTTTTCGAATAGGTAAGTACGATTTTTAATTATATAATATAATTATATTCGATCTGGTCTCTGCATTATAACACCATAACGAATAAAAAAACAATGGTGTTTAATATTTTGATGCACGCATAAGTCTTACATTGTCTCGAAATATTTATCAGACTATCATGGGAAATATATTTTCAGTTCTGTCAGCATTGTTATTTCTTATCGAAAAATTTTATTTGGCGGGAATGCATTACAGTGTTCTCGCACGTTATAAACGGAGCGCAAAAGTTGAGGTTTTGTGTAACAGATGGCGTGCAATGTCTGAAACGTACTTTTCACGTTTCATCGATTGCGCTATTAATAAACCATTTGGTATTCCACCACGCGTCGAGTTTATGCATCGGAAAATAGAAACCAGCGAGCGGCGGCGATACGTCAGTGTGGTTGGGGCATACGACTAATTATTTATCTTTCCTTCCTTCCTTCACGAAAGTTCTAGATGTGATATTAGCAATCAGAAAAGTGTGTTTTAGTTTCCCTTGTACCTACTTTCCAGTGGAAGTGTACTTATTTTTTACAGTATCATTGTGTTATATTGTGCAATTGTTACTTTTACTTACATTAATATAAGACACAGTTGTATACTGAATTTGCTTCATATTTTTGTGTTTATTTTATAAACTTTACGTACACGCAAATGTTTGAAATTTGAATGTTTTATAGTTCTTGAATACCTTCATTTGTAGCGAACTGTCAGAAATGTACGACTGTCAAAACTGCTAAAAATAAAGGCATCTTAACAAATTAAAATGTAAATCTTTTTATTTCTCCTCGTTCTTTGATTTAACTAATGCAGCGAATATTACAAATATTAATTATTATTGTAAGATAAATATTTACTTACTTAATTAGAAAACAATGTCTTGTTAATTCAATAATGATTATTACAATCAAGGCTACATACCTATCACGTGATAAACATATTTGTCAGGTGATTTAGTTCGGAAAAGGAACACTACAGGATTGGATTAAACAAAAATGAGCTTTAAGATAACATATTTATTCAGGTAATACAAAAACTTACCTACATAATGATAATAATAAACATCAGCAACCAGTAATCTACATATCTGGGTAATGGGTCAATGACTTTAATAAAAGACCTTTATTATAGAGTTTAGTGAGGATAACAGTATATACCTAATAAGGATACAGGTAAAAATACCTATAGTATTAATTAATTAATACCTACTTAAAAATCAATGTAGCCCGAGCAATCCCCAGCAATTCAAAAAAAAAATTGAAAACTACATCTGTGTCGTCTTATACAGTCAGTTTGCTTGCCACAGTACCTATCAGTTTTTCTAAAATACGTATGGCTAAGCTTACCCTACCATTCCTACCAATTAAACATATATCAATCAGTTGCATGTTTTTATAATTTTTTATTTAGTTTTTCTTACAAATTTTTGGAATAATAAATGCCAAGTGAAATCTTTTTTCAGAATAGAAAATTATTTTCTGTTTTTTCTATTAAAATGAAAGTCAAGAAATTAAACTAGTTACTGATTGTATAAATAGATGTGGTTGACCTTGGCACAATATTTATAATTTTCAATAACATTCCCATTTGGACGTCAAACAGTAGTGGAAAATAACCTATTAAAGCATATATTTCTATTTATGCTACACAAAGCTAAGTTGTAAGTTTACCTACTTAGATATGGTTATGTAGGTACCTAAATACTGAGTTTAGTCTTACTACATAAACATAAACATCTATTATTCTGTATTAATTAAAATACTTACTTCCCCACAGTTTTTTTCTATTTGAATAATTGAATAATTTTCTAATTGCACTTTAAAAGTTTTAAGTTGATCTCTTTACATTCTCTTCATCATTGCAACAATTTTTCGACAGTATTTTTGACAGTCGGCTACTTTGTTTAATTATATTAAATAGGAGGGCCGTTCAATTGAAACGTTACCTTGGCAACGAAAAACAGTAACGAGTAACGCAAAATAAAGTTTGTGCGATGAAGCTTTCTCGTTTGTGAGATGAAGCTTTCCCGTTTGTGAATGTTACGATCAATTTATCGATGATATTCGAGGGCAAGATTTAGAAAGTGGATAGAATTAATAGTAAGTGAGCAGAATAATTATTTTTGTTGCTGTTAGTTAATATAATGGTTAATATCTGCCGCCCCAATGCTTAAAATGTCACACAATTCTAGACAATGATGTTTGTTGTCACCAGGGATTGAATAAGTTCATCTTTTTGCAAATATTATAACGGTATATGGTACAACATGGATGAAGTGGGGACAAAACTTTTGAATGTGGGAAGAATTTTAAATCTTTGTCAGAAATTTTTGGGCCATAGGCATTAATAATTAAGGAAGACAAAAAAACAAAACAAAGCTATAATCGTGCCATCTTTTATACGTTTGAGTTATTAACCCATCGATTACTTTTGTAATTAGTGATGATGTTTAATGAAAGACTAGTATTGAAAAGTTTTCAGGTGAATAAAAAAAATATTTAAATACATACATAATGAAAATGTATTCATAAATACAAAATAAAAATGAGGTAAGTAATATTATTAAAATATATTTGTTTTTTCATTCTCAATATTTCACATTTTCTTTTTGACAAATCTATTCAAAATCTTTTTCTCATTATTTTTTTATTTGTACTTTCACGTTTCCCAAGTTGACTCTTAATAGGTTTATTCTGCTTAGAACTACATATGTGTAAATACTTACCAGATTACAGCAAAATTAAATTAAGGCAAGAAACCACAGTTAAATTAAGGATTTAAAATAATAATATTAAAACTACCCAAGAAACACAGAATCCAAATTACGTTTACTGGACATCCAGAACTGTCTATAAAAAAATTCAAATAAAAAACCATCTAAATTACGTTTACTAGACATCCAAATCTGTCTAAAATCAAAATATACCCCTATAAAACAAAGATACATCTAATATTTATCTAAACTAACACCTTCTAAAAATTCAAATAGTAAAAATACAAATTATTTAGTGTAGTATAGTATTACTTAATATCACCTTTGGTTACGCTTTTGTCTACATAAAACTTACCTACATCGATACAAGATTATTAAGTGTAAAAATTAGATGTCAGGACAAAAGTGCGTTTCCCAATAGATTTTGTTGCATTAAATTCGTTTTTTTTTTTATAATTGAACGTTATATCTATCTATATTTGATTTATGCAAATACGTATCTAGTTATATAATTTGCACCATTTATTTTGAAAAACATGGAAAGGGATTTGATATCCAAAATATTATTGTGTAAAATATTCGAAGACGAAAGGGTAAATGATTTATAAACTTTTACTTCCATCGACGTGTTATTTGGGTAGTTTACATTTTTTGACGTTTACATTTAGATAAGACTGAAAAGATAAGTCAGTTATTTAATATTTATATATATTCCTATATTCAAATACCTTTCTACAAGTGTAATCTTTTCACATTTATGTACTTAAAATACCTAATGCAATTAAAATTTGTTATTTTTTAAGTTTGCACACTAGGCAGGTTCTTGAATGTTTGATATTTAGTAATACCTAAGGTAAATATTTACAGAATCTTTCAAGTACCTAATTAAATGTTTTAATAAAAAGATCTCAACTGTTTTATTTTACTTCTCACATTAATAAATTATACTGCAGACAATTATTATTGGCAATGGCCATTGTGTTGTCAACTAATTCCTGAAAATACTGCCTACGCGTTTTACTTGAAAATACCTTAAAAAAATTTCAACCAGGTTTTAATTTTCAGTATCTATTTTATGCAGGTGTTAGGTACCTAAATAAAAAGTGATACGCCTCTCTGCTATCGATTAACTACTGTCCTTTATTTGGACAAACGCATTCCCGGTTCCTCGTCTTGAATCTCGCCACAGCCGTCGACCCTTATAAATTCAAACGTCTATACCTGTCCTTTGCAAACAAAGAAAGACGTGCGTCACAAAGATAATCTCTATGTCGAAATCAGCATGAGGCGTGGTACTTGTAAATATGTTATTGATTTATTAATTACATATAGATATACCTGTGTGGACTCACTCGAAATCAAAGCAGAAATAGTAAGTGTCGCACTGATCAAAATATACGCGTACAACTACCGTGTTGAGGCACTCACGAAATACCAACTAACCGTAACGGCGATACGGGTGCTGGACTGCTGATGCCCTGCTCTGTGTTTCACTCATTTCTCCATGCTGGCTGGTCGTCGGACCCTACTATGAGGTAGCAGCAATAACGCGGGCTGTTTCTCCCGTCGTGCCCGTACGATACCGTTCGTAGACCATCGTCGGGTTTCGGTCTGCGCACTAGCCGTTTGTTTCCAATGCGAGGAGGAAATCGAGGTCCCTTTAGTCGAGAACTAGGTGCTGTCTAAATGTAAAAATGAGAAAAAAATGTGCGTTGCATCCGACAAATCCGAACTGATATTTGGTTCTTGTGCGAATTCTGTCTGTTTTTAACAGACTTGTAGAATCCTGCAGGTGTAAAGTAAGGTACAGGGAGACCGTCGAATACGAGTGGTGTACGTTGGCGTTTGAACGGCTTGCATACACGGCTTAGGCAAAATGGCCTCTGTTCTAATGGCAGTGCATTCTAACAGCCTGGTCGTTATCCAACACTTGATCCTCGAAGTTAGTTTTTGGTGTTCGTTTGGTGTTGCTGGTGTTGCTGGTGTGTTGATGTTATTCTTTATTTGTAAGTGTATGGAGCAAAGGGAGCCACACATTCCAAGGTAGTACTGATTTTAGTACCGCTATAGATGTTCAATTGTTTTAGTGCGTCATTCGGTTCGAGATTGCTTTATAACTGCGCTTGCGACGTTAATAGATCGTTGCATGTACCTACGTCCTGCTACAGGCTGGATATTATATACAGAATATATATTTCACTTAAGTTGTAAAGCGTTCAAGGTTATGTTCGTCGACAACAGCGCCACCTTTACTCTTGTAATTTGGGTGTGGCAGTGGTTTTATATTTGTAGTGGTGTTATAAGAAAACGTTATTTTTTCTGCAATTAGCTCACTATATTAAGAACTTCGTATACAAATTATTTTTGTTCTAAGAATTTCTTTAACACCATAATGTTAATTGCAAATGCTTCAACTCGTTTCAATTTAAACATTTAGAAAATTTATGTTGAAAGGATGTATAAATTATTGTTATCATCACACATTATCCAATATCGAAACTGTAATTTATAAAAGACAGTTAAAGTTTTTATGACGCAATTGAACCTTCCTACGCATTTTTAAGTTATGTCTAATTTTCAATATCAGATGCTACAGGGGTCGTGTGATATTTAAGTATTTGACCCTCCAGAATTACGCATATTAAATTGTCATATCTTAGGGATTTTAAAGTTGTGACAAATTTTCTGTATTAGATGCTACAGGGGTCGTATGATATTTGAAGACATGCCACCTTGGAACGTACGTATTACGTATTTGAAAGCTATGACAAATTCTCAGTAGTATATGCTACGGGGGTCGTATGATATTTAAACACGTGACACTCCAGAGCGATACATATTAAATTGTCATTCACTTTTAAATCACCAACGTCAACGTGTACCACTCGGTTGTTTAATGTTTAATGTTCCTCTAATATTTAATTCCGTAGAAATATCCAAAATGGGGGACGAAATGTACAACAGGAAACTGGAGAGTCTCCAACAATACATTCCGTTTTTAGATAATATGATAGCGCAATTGAAGGATCCCAGTAAAAAGAACAGGGAACAACAACTTAATAAGATGCAGTCACTTCACGCCATGATAACTGACAAGAGGAAGAAGTAAGTAAAAATTTTGTTTTTTTTTACGAAAATAGTTATGTTAACCGTGGTAGTGAATTATTAAAGGAAGATGGATCGTTTACAGTGAATGGAAAATTTGTTAAAAATGCATTAGAAGCCTTGTTGCATGAAACCTAGCGGTCATGATGACTAAATAAACTGTATTGATACAAAGTTTTTACATAAAGTTTTAACATCAATTTTTAGAGATTTCTAACAGAAAGAATCTATACTTATAAATACCTTTCATGAATAAACTTTGAATATGTCTATTACCGTAGGCCTATATTTAATATATTTATTAATACGAGTACTCCCGTTGAGTAGAACAATATGGATACCTGTATTTCATTGTATTTACTGGCAAATTTCTCTAATTTAATGATGGGATAAATATATATTACTCCCACTTCCATTTTTATAACTAGCAGGTAAGATATTACAATATACATTATATACAGAATATATATTTGCTAGTGTTATATAATCACATTAAAGTCGACTTTAAGTAAAGTTGCTAATTACTATAGTAACATATTGTTGTTACAATGTTTTAAAGCTGCTTTCAGTTTAAAGAACTTTTTCCATTATGAAATCGGCCATAAGTGTAAGTTTCTAGCGAATATTCTGCGACTATTCGGTATTCTGTCCATTAAGCCAATTTCTTGGTATTCGGTCGAATACCGAATAGTTAGATTAGTTGAAAAAAACAAATAGATTTTAAGGCAATTAATTTTAGATTAAAATAAAACCATTTGTAAATTGTTTAATTAATTATATTTCAAAACCGTTATATGAAGATTAATAAATTTGTCCTTCCTTTTTCTGAACCACCAATCGTGATTTTCATCATCCTCAGCAAAATATGTCCATGTACGAGATCTCTTTTTATTACTGACATTAAATTAACCACTCGTAAACTTTTAAAGTTTATTTTTTCCGCAGCAGTAAACATTCTCAAAAACCGTAAGAATAATAATGATAAAGCTAATAATTTGAGCGCTCACAGTGAATGTTCGTAAACCCTTAATGATACTGTTTTACTTTCAGTCATAGATTTGAAGATAAAGATAAGACATGCTAAAATGATAAAGATGATAAAGCTAATAATCTGAGCATCCAAAGTGAATTTTCGTTAACCTCTAAATATACTATTATACATAGATTTTAGAAGATAGAGCCACCTACTACACTATTTTGTAGTTGAATAGTTCAGTTGTGCACTTCAGTTATACTACATGTTTGGTCTTTCTTAAAATAATAATTCTCCCTCAAGTCAGTCAGTCAGTCACGGAAAACGAGAGCCTTTGCGCAGATTAATTTTGGTCTTTGATACCTCTTTGCCTTATACACACGCATCAAATCAACCTAATATTATTCGGCTATTCGGCAGATAAAGCATCCGAATATTCGGTATTTGGCAAACTACCGAATATGTTATTAGTTATAGTTTTTCCGAAGTCAATTGAAGAACCAATAATTTCAAGGTATGTACCAGGCTTGTTCCCATATTTAATTAGCCATACCCATAAACAGGTCTGGTTGAATTAAACGTGGAGATGATAGAAATGTGTACGCTCAGTTGAAGAATGCGAGCGCGGCCGAAGGAAAACGAGCACAGTTGTATTGGGCTTCTGGGCAATAAATCACAGCAAGTGACAAGTGGTTCATAAATTGCCCTGCAGTGCAGTGCAGTAGTGCGGAATTTGGTGTGAATCAGGCAATTTTAATTTATTATAGGCACCTTCTATCAATCATTCTTATTACAATTGCGAAAGGGAGAAATAAGGATATTTTGTTTACTAATATTATCACAACATGGCATTTTGGAGACCTTTTGAAACGGAACAAAACGAAATTTACCACCAATATAATAAAATTGTTTGAGGACATAAATAATTAAAATATGTTGTTGGCCAAATGAACATATCGTCCCTCTTATCACGTAGGGGCATATAATCCAGAAAATGGATTTACACATACGCCTCTACGTGATAATATGGACGATATAATAGAAATTTTCTACACATTATATACAAATTATAATTTTTTACCTTTAGCAGAAAATTTTTTTAGGGACGCCTGTGAAACATTAAATTTTATTACCAGACGTTTTTTTGCATATTCAACTGACTTCGGAAGGACTATACAAGTCTATATAAATCTTATCGTCTTATGATACATTGAAATATAGCATTACAGTGAGCGGCTAAATTATGGAATAAATTAAATAAAACTATTTTTTTATAAAAACCACCGACAGGACTATTTTATTTTGTTTTTTGTAATTTTTTACGTGCATCTGATTTTCTATAGAGTGATTCTAAAAAGCTGTAAAGAAAAATTTTTTAAACGGAACAATATTTCTACAGATTTGGATAGAACGTTGTCTCACGAATACAGTAATGTAGATATTGATGGATTTATCTTTAATAATAAGAGTGAATAAACAGAATGCGAGGAAAAACGAAAATTTTTTGCTGTTTTTGTAGGGATGTCATTCAGACTTTAAAAACTGTCAGTTAGCTACATTTTGTCCTGATCGAGATACGACTTATTCTAAGTAAAGATACTCTTTGATTATGACTAGTCGATTATGGCTCATTTGAGTGAAACCCAACGCATAGACTTTAATTCTTGTTGGATGCAGAAATAAAACGAGAATTCGGCAAGAGGTATGTTTTGTGTTTAACGCAAAGGCATATCAGGCACATATCAGCTGATCTGCAGTTAGTAAAATCGAGGAGAAATTTAGAGACACTAGTCATGTTTAACACATAACAAATGCTGGACGACCTAAGATTAACGAAAATGTAAAACTTAATGTTTTGTTAAGTATGGAAGAGTGTGGAGTATTACGTGTGCTTCATAAAGAAAATTACTATCCTTACAAAGTCCAGCTAGTGCAGGAAGTAAATGAAGATGCAGTTTTGTGAAATTATGCAGGATTTATGTAACCGGTATCCACGCTTTCTTCAACACATTCTTTTTTTCGGATGAAGTCACGTTTTACCTACATGGCACAGTGAATTGACAAAATTATAGGTATTGGAGTAGAGAAAATCTTCACTGGATGATTGAGGCACATACTCAACATCTCCAAAACATGTGGACAGGGATGGTTGAAGACAGAATCATTGGACCGTTCTTCGATGAAATTGTGACAGGGCAACGATAATTGGATTTTCTAAGAAATTAACTTACGCCTGTCCTTACAGAAAATTTTCCAAATGTAAATAATCCTCGAGCACTGAATGATAATATCTGGTTTCAACAAGATGGCGTACCTACGCACTTTGCATGTCCTGTTCACGAGACGACTCTTTTCTTGGGAGGTGGATTGGTAGACGAGTACCCATAGAGTGGCCACCTCCAGGTCCAGATCTTACACCCCTCGATTTTTCCTTGTGGGGTTATTTGAGATCAAAAGTCTACGTAACCATACCATCAAATTTAGAGTTAAGAAATCGAATAAGTGAAGAAATTAGTAGAATTAGTCCAGAGGTCCAGAGGTCATTTGCAATGTACAAGAAAAATTTGTTGATAGGTTTCCTTATCGCCAAGAGGTTGATGGATGATGGCATTTCCAACATTTGGTTTAAATGAATAGTATTTTAACTTTGTTGATTATTTAATTTAATTTACAACTGTTATTCGTTTGTACTTAATGTATTAAAATTTTTCCTTGCCTTCTGTTTATTGAGCACTCTTGGTTATTCTATGTTATTATTAATGATAGACCCATCAATATCTACATTACTGTATTCGTGAGACAACGTTCTATACAAATCTATAGAAACATACAGGGTGTCTCGGCGTTTTTATAAAAAAAAAATATTACAGTTTTATTTAATTTGTTCCGTAATTTATGCGTTCATTACACTCACAGAGTGGTCCACCGAAAAGTATATACCGGGCGTTACGTCTTTTTGTGAAATTGGAAGCAAAAATGCTCGGACACGTCGATTTTGGTTTTAAGGGGAATGTATTTTACGCACATTTTTCAATCCGCCCCTTCATTCTTTTAGCTGGGAACAATCGCACCCCTAAAATTTCAAATGGAAAATTTGGTCGAATGATACATCATTTCAAAGGGCACAAAATTTTCTTTCCAATGATACCCTATTTGTTCGATTCTACTTGGACAGTTACTGCGAAAACGGCTGTAGAAACCTAAGCCCTATAGTTTTGGCATTCGTGAAAAAAACACTTACGTATTAGTTGTTATGATTCAATACAACCACAATTAATCATTTGTAAATTACCTTAACCAAAAACGTTGTGATTTAAATGCAATATAGTTGGGTTGGTGAGTTATGATCAGGGACGAAAGGGGTAAGAATGTACACAAAATTGTTAGGAGTCAAGACAACCTTACGAAACAATTACAGTAATCAGTATTCGATTTTAAATTTGAAAATCATTTCTGTCACCTTGACTATTTCTTCAATTTAATAATAAAAGTATACATCCATTCTGTTTTTTTCTGTATTTTGGACATGGTTACTCAACAAGATGTACCCAATGAACAAAAAATATGTAGAGATGCAACAGATTTTTTTCAGTTACGTCCATTCTAAATACTATTATCACTCACTGAAAGGTATACGGATACCAGCATTTTCGATATTTTAAGGTGTATTAAGAATTGTTTTTTGTTAAGGGATAGTTTTTAGTAAGAAATAATTTTTTAATTATTCAAGAGAAAAGAAATATTATTAGTATACTATACAGGGTGATTCAGAACTTACCAGCTTTTTCGATATTTTAAGGTGTATTAAGAATAGTTTTTTAGTAAGGGATAGTTTTTAATAAGGGATAATTTTTTAATTATTCAAGAGAAAAGAAATATTATTAGTATATACTATACAGGGTGATTCAGAACTTACAAAAAAAAAATTGATGTACTCTTACAAATACAATTTTGTAAATAAAAATCAAAAAGGCAATTCGAAAATTATTTAAAAATACACTTCTGCACAGCACTGGAAACTGGTCCATTGTAAAACCTGACCTCGCACAATGCGACCGGCATGGCGACAAAGTGTGATAAAAACGGACAAAAACTTGATAAAAATAAAATAAATTGAATAGAATAGAAATAAAGAAATTTTATATCAGCAATTTCAACTGCTTTTGCCGCTATTGTTGTTATTAATTAATAAAATTAATTTGTGGTTTTAAATAATAAAATAATTTGACATACCTGATGTTACAACTGTTCAACATTTTATCCACCGACTTGTAAACACATTTAAGGTCCGTCTTACTCAGTTTCTACGAACTAACACAAATGTTGTCTTGCTTCACCATAACACAAATGCTTCGCAATAATAAAAATATTGTCTTGCTTCACCATAAATTAAAACGATATCCGTCAACTCCGAGTTGCTATACACGCAAGCCATTTTTGACACTATCTACTAAAAAACTATTGTAAACATAGCAACGACGATTGTAAAATCGGATTTCAGTGGAGTCGCTGAGGCTACGTGGCTCTCCACACTTATTGCGAATGACGCTAGAGACTACAGTTGTCCAGCTATGTAACGGTTGAATGTACTACAACTTCAATAATGTTTTTCTCGGAAACTATAAGGATTTTACAAATTTTTTTTTACTATATTGACTCCATTTCTCATGCCACATCTATTCCCAATTTTTTTTTGGATAAGTTGTGAATCGCCCTTTATGTAGACTATTATATTTAAATGGTGTATAAAATATACTGTTGAATGTACTTGTATTAATTACAATTACCAAAATTATCCAATAAATGAATACCTACTACTTTTTTTTGACTAAAACGTCTTTATGGATATATTAAGTAAAAAGTTGATAAAATATATGTTTAATACGTATAACGTATACATTTGTAATTTAATATTTGAATATTTAAAATAAAAACAAGTATTGAAACTGCAGAATTTAACTAAAATTTGAACAATTGACCTTTAGAAGTAACAAACATTTTTCGTTGAATTAAAACCAGTTCTATTGTCTAATTTTTTTGGCCAATTTCTTGATCTATTTTAATTTGTCAGATATTGTTAAATGCAAAACAAGTTTAATGTCTGACGAGTTTGCATGGTCATAACGTCATAGTTTCCACACAGCTTAGGTGGTTTACGCTTGAGGCTGACGTTTTATAGAGAAGAATTCGCAATTTTAGTTAAGACAGTGATAGAACAAGTAAAGCCATCCAGGAATTGGCGAAGCGTAACGCTAAACTAGTGCATCTTTCTTTCATTTTTTGCATTGAAAGATCAGGGAGAACTTGTAAATATTAGAAAATATACCTTTCCTGTTTTGTCCAGCAATTTATAAAGATACTCAATAATTGTGATTAATGCATGTGTTAATAGTTTCCTAAAAGCATTCTGCGGAGTGACTACGTTTATAGGACCGTATGTCTAACAGGCGTGCAAAAATTCTGGAAACGTAATATACGTAAGATTTCCTTATCTTGAATGTATTGTCAGTTATCTTATACCCTGAAGAAAACTTATATAACTGCTACAGTGAAGAGATGATATTGTTTATAACTTGTTTAGAGTTTCTAAAATGCTGGACAAAAAATTGCGCATATAAACGCCCCCTTTTTTTGGTAATATTGAATTTTACGTGAGCAAATTCCAACTAGACTGGATGACATACTTATTTGTTTTTTAAATTTCGTTCATTGAAAACTGAAACGTTACTAATATGGTTGTACTTTTCGACTTGCCCCCGTATTTACGGTTTCAGGAGTTCTTAAATATTTGTATCGAACAAATCATTTTAAGTACGTTACTTTTACCGAGGCATGTTTAAAATGCTAATTAAATGTTTCTTACAGTGTATTTTTATTTTCCTGGTATGTTGCCACAAATAAAATATGGTTTAAACCGATTTGCATTTTATTTTCTTTGTTATCTGACCTCAGAAACTGACTAAGCGAGAATTTGTATCGAGATTTTAAACGACTTTAACGTGATTTAACTTTTTATACTTTAACTGACATTTTAATGACAGATATTTTAATTCTTATTGTTATCCGTTAACGCGCAAAAGTTACTTAAATGTACAGGGTGCTTATAAAATGTGATTTATATTTTCTCAAGATTTTTTTTATTCTTGCTTTAAAGGAAATAATGTATTAATTCTGTTGGTGTACGTATTTCAAATGTGGACAGTGTTTGTATATTTTACATTTTATTAAAGCATATTCAGCTTATTTTTTTTGTTTTTTTTTTTTTATATTTATAGATGCTTATATTGGATATTAGTACAAAAGTGGTGATATGTTATAGAATTTTTTGTAATATTAAATTTATATCTAGTTGTTATTGCGACGTATCTTCACTTGTTTTATAGATTATCTAGAAATATCATCTTGATAAATATTGATAATTTTTATAATTATAAAATAGTAGCAGCAATTCTGTAACCCTGGGACATGTTGTCTCTGTTTTCAAACAAAATCTGCCATTTAATAGTAAATCATGAAATTTTTTAAAAATGCATTTTAAATATTTTCTTTACCGTTGATTGTAAAATAAAAAATATTCTGCTCGCTGGCGTCATTCTATTTTCAGACTATCGATCCTTGCCACAGTGTAGCCCTAGAGTTACAGTAACAAATATGGCGATTGTGGATTTAAAAAAAAATGTATTATATCTTACTTCAAAACAATGATCTACTGATAACTAATTCAAAATATTTATTACAGATTAAAACTAGAAACTCTGATCAAATGTGAGGATGTTATATCAAAACTTTACGAAAAAGTGGTAAGTAATTAAGGTTTTATTATTTTTAGTTTTCAGTTAATATTTCTCTTATTTATAAACATTACAAATTTTTAATATTGAATTGTAAAAGTTCACATTACTCCACATCTGATTAATATTTAAATATTTTGTTGTAGCACAACAAACCTATCGGCCCAAGAAAAATTGCTGACGATTTTTTATCCACACCTGCCAGTCCTAGTCCACCTAGAGAAATAATTGCTCCAGCACCCCTCACAATTCCCACGGAAAGGTAACAAGGGTGATATGTTAAAAATGCTTTTGTTTATTTTAATTTTATTTTAGGCTGGATGAAAACCGAATCCCAAGAATTGACATATATAGTAGCGCTGGAGAGAGCCTCAGTAGACAAAGAGCGCAACAGAGTTTAACTTTAGGAACTAAGGTACCTGATATGTCCAAACCCCCTATTAGTCTCGATGATTTAAAGACCTTGGAAGAAGACGTTCAGGAAAAAATTAATGAAGTTTCATTAAATAAAGCGTCACTACATGAACTTAACTCTCTTAGAGAGAAACTTACCGAGCAAATCCAGATGGAGGAGGTTTTATCGAGGTCTCCTCAAAAACATAAGAAGGATGAGTTGGAATGTATAAATACAACAGTGAGGAATAACCTCAATTTAACGAAAAAGGTGATACAGCCTCCTGAAAAGTCTAAAAGTAAAGATATTACTAAGTTTGTTCCTAACAAGCCGTTGGAACATAATTTCAGTATGTCGTCGCCCAAAAAGGAGATCAAAAATCTTACACCGACGATCAACAAATCACCAAAGATTTTAAAAGAACCGGCCAGCATTTTCGGAAGTATTTTGTCTAACATTGACGATCAAATACTGGAAGGCAAAAAAAAGAAAGAAGAACGAAGGAGTTCCGTCACTGGTAAAGACGAGAAGAAACCTTGTGATAAAGATGCCAAAAAGAAAGACAGAAGAACATCGAAAGACGATACTAATGATGCGAAGAAAGACAAAGATTTGAAAAAGAAAGACAGAAGTAGTAGCTCAACGGAGGAGAAGAACACAACCAAAGAAGAAAAGAAATCTAAAGGGATTAAGGAGTTGGATACGAAGAAAAAAGAACATCATCAAAGCGGAGAAAAGAGTAAATCGAAAATCGAAAAGAAAGAGAGCGATAATAAAGAGGAAAACAAAAATGATAAAAATCAACAGTCCAGTAAGGATACAACTAAGAACACTTTTATATCACTTACCGGTAAAACGTCTTTTGAGGCGGAGGAAGAACGATTGAAGAAAGAGTTGGAATCTAAAAATAGTACGACATTAGTCGTGGAATCTGAGGAAGATAAGTCCAAAAACACGATAGGGAAAATATCTGTTAAAAAAGATCTGACTTTAGTAAAAGCTAATGCCGTCGTCAATAAGGAAGAAGAGCCTACTAAACAAACTACGTTTAAACGTTTAGCTGACAAATACAACCCAAAGCCTAAAAAACCTACAGTTGAACAAGAAGTGGATAAAGAGGTATGTGACATCATCGAGGAAAATATGAAGACGTCGCCACCAAAGCCACCTGTAATTAACCAGATACCAGCACCGATTCCGCCGCCTGCCAGCTTGTTATTATGTTCCCAGATGGAACCTGAAAAGCCGGAACCCGTCCCCGCTCCACTACCAGCCGTTCTACAAAATATTTTAAATCCAAGTACCACAGAATTGATCAATACTGTGGTGAGTCAATTAAGGCAGAATAATGCGGAGACCGAGAACAGAATCATCCCGCGTACGCCATCTGTAGATAATTTCGTCTCGGATTACGCTAGAGACGAGAACTTTGTATCTGAGTATACCAGAGAGGATTTCACTCGTGACGACTTCACTCCCAGTAACATCCATATATCCGATTTTAATAATTTTACACCTCATCAACCTCAACCTCCACCCCCACTTCCACCTCAACAGGTCAGGCGCGAAAGGCTCAACTTTGAACCTCCAGTTCCTCTTTTGAATAACCAATTCAATCAAATAGGCCCCCAGAACCAACGATTCATGTCTCCTCTAATGGGAGAAGCGTTTAACGATAATTTTTCGCAGAATAGACCGTTTACTCCCATGCCACAAGGCTTTCCCCAAAGTTATAATAATTTCCAGACAAACCAAAATGCGCAATCTGACATACAGCCTCTAGATTACTATCCACCAAATGCGCCAATTCCTTCAAACCAGTACAACAGTGGCCCACCACTCTTATCTCCTGAGGTTCCGCATTTTCATAATGAACAAAAACCTACCAATTTCGGCATGATACCAAATCACGATCCGTTTGGGCACAACGAGGACATGCGGTGGAGGCAAGAAGACACTCGCTTTCCATGGGAGCGAAGAGATCAGGATCATAGATTAAATAGAGATCCGAGAACTTATAGGGAGTATAGAGAAATGAGAGAATCTAGAGACCCTAGGGTAATGAACCGCGATCCTAGGGATAACAGAGACCAAAGAGACACGAGAACAGTAAGAGATCCAAGAGTTAATAGAGATTTACGGGAAAATAGAGACTCAAGAGACAGAGATCCTAGATTGAATAAAGATAGAGAATCTAGGGATTTCGAAAGGGATAGGTCGAGGTTTCGAGATGGTCGATCTCAGAGCAGAGACGATAGACCTAGTAGATACGATTCTAAGTTTGATAGGATGTACTCTAGAACTAATAGAGATCGTTCCAGGTCCCGATCTAGATCTAGGTATTCCAAGGAAACCTTCACTTCCCCTCTTGATAGTCTGTATTCCGGTAAAGAAGAACACAAGACTGGTAAAGGTTATGGCGTCCAAAACTTTCGAATACCCAAAATTAAAAAAGAGGACGAAGAAAAAGAACAGTCGACGAAAGTATCCAGCACTAACGAAGAAGTTTGTGATGTACAATCTGTTAATGACGACAGTAGCGATAGTACCAATAATGAAGTTACTGGAAATGATATTGAAACCGAAGTTGATGAAAATAAGTTAGTAATAGATGCTACTAAAGAAGATGCTACTAGAGATGCTACTAAAGAAGATGCTACTAAAAAAGATACTACTAAAGAAGAGACTACTAAAGAAAGTGGAGTAAATGACCATGAAAACGAAACAACTGAAAAAGACACAGAAGTTGAGAAAACGAACCAAGAACCACCAAAACTACAGAATGAAACAGAAGAAGCAAAAATCGTTGAGATTCCTAAACCCACGATTCCAACACAACTTGTTGATCAAGAACAGGCGAAACCTGCCGATCAGACGATTCTTGCCCAGTTCTTTGCCAATCTACTCGGTAGTCAGAACAAAAAAGAGAAGAAAACGGCATTGTACTCTTTAATAAGCACCTTTTCAGACAGTTTCAGTGAAAAGGAATTAACGAAAATAACGAAAATTATTAAAGCTGATGAGGACGCCGAGAGTTCAGAAGAAGAGGAAGTAAAAAAATCTGAACCGAAACCTGATTCTGAGACGACTAAAGAACTAGAAAAGGAAGCGGAACCGGAAGAAACCCATTCTGAAGACACTCCCGTGAAAATGCCAAAACGTAAGACTAGAAGAAGAATTCGAAGAATTTCTTCGACGGCTTCTATAAAAGATGAAAAGGTCAAGGAGGAAGAAATTGCTAAAACTCCCGAACCACCGGAAGTATTTAACACCGAAGAAGAAAGCGTTGTAGTCTCTGTAGGTGAGAGAATAAAAAGCAGAAAACGTGCCTCAATAACTCCACCAAAACCAAAGAAAAAATGTAAAACGGAGCTTGATATGTTACACGAGGATATACAAGATATGTTCATACGAGACGGCGTGCTCACAGCTAGTGGTAAACGTATGTGCAGGCTGTTAAAAAGCGATCCTAATGCATTAACGACTCCTCAAACAACTCCATCAACCGATCCTCCAAAATTACGTAAAAAACCTGGTCCGAAGCCCAAACCAAAATTAAACCAATCTGATATGAAAACTGTAAAAAATATTCGCATATTACTCCCTAAAATTCCTGACAGCAGCTTAGAACAAAAAAATGCGAGTCCTAGGAGAAGTCTTAGGAGTTCCACTAAGGCTGTATACGCAGAAAGCGATGAAGACGATAAAGCACCAACTGAAGAAGAATCAATAATGGAGGAAGGATCATTTAAAGAGGATTCTGACGCAGAATCCACGGACACAGAAAAAGATAAGATATCGCAAGCATCAGATAACACTACTAAAGCTAAAATGACAAAAAGAAAGCGAGGCAAAGGCTGGGCATCTGGAAATATCCCTTCCAATAAGAAGAAAAAGAAGAAGCTATCATCTGTTGAGGAATCGACAGAAAAAGTTGATGATAAAAGCACATCTGCTGCTCAGCCCGATACAGACAAATCCTTTGTTGTACCAGATAAGAATTACTATATTGATTTTGTCACGAACAAGTCTCACGAATGTAGACTATGCGATTATCATGGCAGATTCATCACAACTCACTACAAATCTCAACATCCAGAGTCGGAAATATTAACCTCCCGTTTCTCTCCTGCAGTGGCACAAGAGGCAATTGAAGATTCAAATAAAAATCTGGTCAAATACGAGAACATGATGGTGTGCGGTAGTGGAAAGTTCCACTTTACTTGCAGGTTCTGCGCTTTTAACACCAGTGTACCACCTACGATATTTTACGATCACATTACCACTCACACTGGCGAGTATAGACATGTCTGTCCCATGTGCGACTTTTCTGCCTCTAGCGGGAAGACATTGAAATCACATATGTCCAACGTCCACAACAACATTGAAAGGAGAGTGGCTCGCAAGTCTTACAGAGAAACGATTGTCTTTGGTTACATGTGCGGAGAATGCAACTACGTCCAATTGACAGAAAAAAATGTCGAGGAGCACATTAATATATTCCATTTACAAAAGCCTACGATTTACAAAGTCAACATGTCGACTACTTTTGACCCTGAGGTGGCAAATCTGGCTGAAAAAGAGAAAAGAGATACTGCCTCACCAGCAACTGCCTCTGTCGAAGAAAAAAGTGAGGAATCACTTGTTAAAGAAAAGAAAAATAAAGTGGACAAAGCTGACAAACCGATGCTTCCCCCTCAACTTAAGAAACGTCCTAAGGCAGCTCCTAAATCAGTGAAAGACAGGTTAAAAGCTAAAAAAGCATTAGCTGAGAAAGAAGCAGAAGTCTCCGACACTAGCAGTATCGCAGAGAGTGAATCTAGCTGTAGTTTGGAACCGGAAAAGACCGGTACACCTGAACCTGTAAAACCGGTAACTGTTTCTAAAAGGCGGTTAACTAGGGAAGTATCGACGACTTCAGAAGAAGAGGTTGTCGTAAGTGGCAGAAGTAGACGTGCTGCTAAAGATAAAGCCACAGAAAAACTGAAGACTCTGATGGAACTAACAGAAAATGGAGGCAGGAAAAAATCGTATTCTGAGACAGGGGACGAAGATAAGAACAAATCAAAGCAAGTTGCGGAGACTAAAACGAATGACGATCAGACCGAGGACAAAAAAGAACAGGCAGCTAAAGTAGAGCAAAAGTCGTTACCAGAGAAGAAGGAAGAAAAACTGAAAATTAAAAAGGAAATAGAATTGAACGTATTCACTTGCAAAACTGACATTCAAGAAGAGAATAAAAAAATAGAGCAAGAGCGTTTGCAGCTAATGGACGAACTTAATAAGTCGGTCGGTAATAGAACATCTCTAAACTTCGTGGACAAACTTTGCAACAGATTGAGCAACAATGACATCATAGTAAAGCAGGAGCCGAGAGACGACCTTACCGACAGTCTATTTCCAACAAATACCACAGACGTGCCTCTCACTATGCCAGTATTGGAGAAAAATCTACCTACACCGAATGAATCGGCTCCGGCGAAGGCTCCAACCACTCCAACGCCCCCTCCCAAAAAACCAGTGTTGCAAACTGAAGACATGCAAGTATCAAACCCTAGTTTTGACGTCACCCTGAAAAACAACAAAATTATCACAGACATGATACAAAAACTTAAAGGCAAAGTGGCCAACATCTCCGACGACAAATCCGAGAACTCCATGACATTGGAAGACGTGGACTATGACAACGAGGGCCCACCACCACTGACACATGTTAACAAACTACCAAACGTTAAACCGGCCGATGTGTCTACAAAGACAATGTTAATAGGAGGCCTGGTGAAAGTGATCAAGTACCCTAGTCACTTAATGTTTTCTTGCCTGGTACCTCCTTGTCTCTTCTCAACGGAAAACAGAGAAGCTTTCCAGAAACACTGCTCGGAAGCGCACAAGCTGCCACTAGAAGAGAAACTGACTCTATGCGATATGTGTGGCATGGAACTGGGGTCCGCAGAAGGCAGCCCCTTCTTGGAAAACATATTTAAGCACGCCCTCGAAGAGCATGCGGACTTTATGAGTATCGAATCGAAGCCTGAGGAAAAGACGAGCTCCATTAAACATCCAAATAGACAGTTGAGGTTAAGGAAGTTGAGCGGAGACGCCTTGTCTGTTATTAAGAAGGACTGGGAGGAAGAAATCGACAAAACGAGTAAAGAACCTGCAGAGAATAATAAAGAGGACGAAGATGTCGCCCCAGTGGCTGAAGCAGCCGTCGATGATGGTGAAAGTGTGGACGAACCTACAGCAAGCATTGCTGAACTGGAAGTGAGTGACGAGAATCCTTTCCCATTCAAAATTGCTGGGGTGATGTCTTTGGCAGAGCCTGTACCCCCCTTGACGCCCATAACTAAACCCGCTTTGCAAATGCAGGCTACATCACAGTTGGTAGTGAAGGAAGCTAAGCTCAACCAAACCGAAGTCAGCAGGCCGAGGAAAACGCCCAAGGCGATGGCAAAGTTTATTGCGAGCGTCAGTGACTTGTATAAGTGTCCGCATTACTACTGCCTCTTCTCCACCAATTTCAGGGACTTTTTAGAAAAGCATTTGAAAGCTCATAAAGTGGAACACGACATGATGATCCCCTGCGTGTATTGCGACATGAAGACGCCCTGGGAACACGTCCCTATGCACATAGACATCCGCCACGCTCATTGCAGATTTGCCTGTTCGTATTGCTTGTATAGGGCGGTGCTGAAGGAGTACGTGTTCCTACACCAGGACCAGATGCACCCAGAAAACGACTACTCCGTTATAGCCCTGCCGCAGCCAAAACATTCCAAGAAGTGGGCCATCGCAGACATCAAAGTCGATCCCAAGACCTTGTGTGAACCTTACAGGTGCACTCCCAGTAAGTATAGTTGCTTAATTGCTATATAAATTCCTCCTTCAGTATATTTTAATGCTGTTTGTAATTATAGTGTGCGGCGTGGAGTTCCTCTTTGAAAATGAGTTCAGGAAGCATCTTATGGACGTGCACAAATCCAATTTCATTCAATGCGGCTACAAGAATTGCACGCACAGGGTCCAAGCCAACAAGATGTCCTGTCACTGGTCCCTGAGTCATAGTATTTCGATGTATCAATGTGGCCATTGCAAAATGAACGGGAGCGATATTAAAAGATTGTACAAACATTTCGCGCTATTTCATCAAGGACTGGTGCCCGATATATTGATCAGAAAGCATGCTCAACTCCAGGTAAGTAAATATTTCTACTTTTTTTGTGGCAGTTTTTACGTTGTTATGTTTACAGGATGGTGTCCACCTAGGATACTCGCCAGAAGCTTTCAGCGTCTTGAGGAAGATCATCACCATACCTAGCAATATTTCAGGCGAGAACAAAGCAGAAACGTTTGAGGTAGAACCTGCAACAGTACCTGTTATTCTACCCAGTAACACGGTACCTTACGGAGTACCGACTAAAGCTACCTTGCAAGTGGTCACGTCTTTGTCGCAGAATATTACAAAGAGCGTTATTATTCCCGGTAGTAAATCAGTTATAAATCGCGCGATAACTCTGGTTACTTCCAAATCTCCTACTAACACCGGTAATATCTTGCTCATGCCCAATGTTACCACCTGTAACACCTTGAGCGGCATAGTATTGTCGCCACAGACTAACAAACAAGTTACGTCGGTGGCCGCTATCGGTAAGACGCTTAAAGTCGTACCATCCGTACTTAGCCCCGCAGCGACAACTCCGCCATTGCAAGAAATCTCCGTAAGTCCTCCCCAGAAGGATAACGAGGGCGATATGGAAAAGAAAGGTCGAGAGCTCGATCTGACCATCGAACCCCTCGAACATATCACTCTCAGCGAGGATAACAGCCAGAGCAACGAGGAAGCCGATACGTGCGAAGTGGATCCGCTCAGTTTGGAGGCCGATGCGGACATCACCGACATATCCAAGTCGGCGGCTGACAGCTCGGGCGACGAGAGCGACAAACTGGACAAGTCCAAGAAAGAAGCGAAGAGCGGCCTGATGAGTTACCAGCTGTACAGATGCGCATTTTGCGACATATCCTTTTCCAACTCCGTAGACTTCAAGAGGCACGCGACGTTCTCCTTGAATTGCCGTATAGAATCTCAGGTGGTGAAACCCTTTGTTTGCGTACATTGCGAGAAGCAGCTGAAGAACCCACACGTGTTGGTGGAGCACGTGCAGTGCCACGGCGTGCTGAGGTTCACTTGCTCCTTGTGCGGGAGCAAGTTCGCCACCATAGCCCAGACGAGGTGAGAAAAAATCGATTTTTTTTCTTGTTTAAAAAAAGTTTACATCACAACATTTGAATTTATTTTTAATTATCAGTCTACGTTTTATTTTTTATTTTATGTGTCAAATTAACAAACCTAGAGATTTTTTTAAATTTAAAGTCGGACTATTGCTGGATTCTGCACATTCTTAATGCGGTTTGTACCAAATTTCGTGAAAACATATTCATTGGTTGTAAAGTCGATTTGAATACGTTTATTTTAGTATTCCTCGATATTTCTTTCTTATTTATAACTTTACTATTCATCGTGTAATGCAACGTCATAATTGTTTCTATGCTGTTAATAATTTCAACTTCTGTATTATCTGCATAATATTTATTTTATTATCAATAATACCTCGTCTACGTAATTTTTCATGATTTGCTCTGTCGTAAACATGTGATTTTGTATATTTCCCGCACTGTATGTTTTGTATTGCGTACACTATTGTTAGTCTTATTTGTCTCTCGAGGATTTTCATTAAAAGTAATTTATCTGTAATTATTACAGTTTTTGTTACCTTTCTCGTGTATCGAAACTATTAATGGTGCCTGCCAATCCATCTTCCATGTTCTTTCTTCTATAGTATATCATACAACATCAACAGAATAATGCCCATTCCTCTTTCCGTATGCATATAATTATATATTTTTTATAGAAACCACATAAAGAACCGTCACAACATCACCCACACCTCAATGACGCCCCTGAACCCAGCCAAGCAAAGCATCGACATTGATGAGTTCGTGGTGAGGCCGAAGCTTATGCTTCAAATGGGAGCGGCGAGGGACGCCTCCCCAGCCGAGCTGTCCGCATCCAGTTCAGCGTCGGAGAACGTCTACACACCGGAAACGATCGAACAGATACCCATGAGGCACATACTCAGCTCGAGCGTCAAGTGCGGCCTCTGCTCCTACACCACCAAGGTCAGGACCAACATGGTGCGACACCTGCAGTTCCATTCCGAGGAGAAGGTGGTTCCCGACACCGCCCCCGTGAACCCGGTGCCCTGTCTGGAGAAGAACGAGAAAATGTTCGACAAGATGATCAACCTGGCTTCTAGTTCTCACGCGAACAGCAGGATGGGCGGCGCCAAGCCGGACGCTAAAGGTAAGGTTTATTCTGCGCTGGGAGCAGAATACCAGGATTTAAAAAAAAAATCATGATTGTTGTAATAATAATTATAATTTTTTTTGTTTCCTAGATTTTTTTAATGAACGAAATGAATACATATTAATAATAATAATTATGATAATAATATAGTAATAACAATAATAAGAAAGAAAAAAAAGGTAGTACTGAATGACAAACAAAAAGGTCATAAAAAAATAGAATGTACACCACTAGCCATACAATTTAAAGAGCTCTGGAACAAGAAATTGTAATGATACTCTCAGTTGGCGTTTACGGTATTAATGTCGGACTAAAAAACTTTCCCAATGATCTCAAAAGAGTATACAAGGTGATTCAGTCATAATGTAATTAATTTTAAAGGAAGATAGGGAAATATGAGTATAACACGAATACGCGCTTAAAAATATAAATGCATATTTGCGCCGAAAAAAAAAAAAAATTTTCAAATCATTATTTGAATCCCTTTTCGGACCGCTTCTGATCGCTGACTCACGAAGGTTTATCAAGTGATTCTTGACCTACCGTATTGTTTGGTCACTAACTTAGGTTTTACTGCATTTTAAATCCGTAGTAAACGATAAGGAAAAAACAAATCATTTTACTTAGACACTTGAATGAAAAATACATTTTTTTACATTTTAAATATTAACAAGTATTATAAAAACAAATGTATAATGATAATAATTGTTAATTAATTAATTGAGTTTGTAGTACGTATACCTAGTGACTTATTGCTTTTCAAAGAGTAGTATGGCGCCTACCTATTTAAAATGCTAATACGACTAAAAAACTCATTTGTCCATAGTACTTCGTTAATAAAGTTGGGATCTGCTGCGCTTTGAACCAATTACAAAATTCAACACGACTGAGGAAATCGGCTGTTTCTTTTCAACGTTCGAACGCTCTGTAGTCCGCCGGCGCGTTCCCTGTCAGAAAATGTGTTGCGATGTAGGGCGCCAAATTAACGAGAGTTAAGGGGTAATTTGCCTATTTTTTAAAAGTTTAATACAATTTCATTTTGATTTTCTGTCTTTACTATACCTTTCGAATACGTGGTTAAAATTAATGACATTATGACTGAACCTGTATATTCAAATAAACATCCACACTGAAACATCCAAAAAGCATGATTCTTACAACTTCGCTAATACACGCTGTATGATCTTAAACCTGGAGAAACTGGAACTAAGAAATAATAATTAACGTGTATATTTCCAACAAGACGAAAATATAATTATAGGAAACAGGTAAAAATAAATACAACTCAATTTTTTAAATAAATTGTACTATAATACAATTAAACAAATGCAAGTGACATTGTTGGAAATGCCCATTTACTACAAAATTATAAGGATAATGATAATAGGAATAATAAGAATTAATAATAATTTGTTGGTTTTTGTATAGTTATACACTTTACTTTATATGTTTACAGTTATACAAATAACGCGCTTAGACGTGTTTATTCATCCAAAGTCCATATAAAAATGCTTAAAGATTGAATGTAGAGACCGACCGATTAATCGGCATCGGCTTCGGCCACATTCGGCCATTATTTAAGCCTTCGGCCAAGAATCGGCTTCGGCCAAAATTAAACCGAACTTTTCGCCGAAGCCGAAGGTACCGTTCGGGACGCCGCTGACTTAACAAATTTAATCAAATTAGGATTAAATTAGCCCCTTAACACTACAAATGACTGCCAAATTACAACAAAATTGGGTAAAAGATGTTTAAGATATTTACCAAGTAGCATTTTTTTTACAAAAGATTAACACCCTGTGTTTTGAAAACGAAGCATCTGCGGACCAATGTTTATATGAACTTTTTGTATTAAAATCATTCAAATAATCGTTTGTTGAATTTATTGTACATACTTAATTAACACCCTATATACAGGGTGTCCCGTTCATGTTTCAAAAAAAACTTGTGTGCTAGTTCCTTATGGGAAAATAATTGGGGTACTTCATGTAAAGTTTTTTTCTTAGACGCTCTATTTTCGAGATACAGTGTGTTGAAGTTGTTACTTTCCAAATGGTTTTCCATAATTATTTTTAAATCGGCTAAAGATAAAGATGACAAAATTTGTACACGAGTAAACATCAACTATGCGTTAAGAGTAATGTGCAAACGGTTTCTTTCTGAAAAACTGTGTCGCCGATACAGGTAATTAAAGCGGTACAATCAAAGAAAAAGTATGTTAAAAGTCAAAATTTATTACATTTCTAAACGGTTCTGTAAACTCTAAAGGATACTACAAAAAAAAGGTATACTTGTCGAAATTCGGTAACATGTACCATTTTCGAGAAAAATTAAGTTGCTTTTTTTAGCTCACAAAGCTGCACAAGGACATTAACAAAATATTAAATTGGAAGAGGACCTTACCATTGAATGAGCTGAAGATATTTAGCTACCAACAGTATTTGTATTTAAGACTATAATTTTAATTTTTTACGTATCACATGAAACAGTTAAATTATAAAACATTTTAACTAAAAAAAAAATTTTAATTTATTTTAAGTTTCAGTTTGTTGTAAACTACTTACATTTATGTTATCTTATCATATTTTTGTTATTTATTAAAATTTTCAAGTTAATAAAATATCATCGGCTTCGGCCGAAGGTGACCCATAAACCGAAGTTCGGCTTCGGCTTCGACCAAAAAAATCACATTCGGTCGGTCTCTACTTGAATGATCTCTGACTGTAATAGTTTACAGTATTATATCATATTTGTTAGTAATAAAACTTTATCTGTAAACCATACCATATAATTTTTTTTTTCAATGTTCTTGGCCCGTTTTAAAAGTTCCATTGCTCATTTTTAAAGCAAAAGCTTTATAATAACTTAATGAACTTTCACGAATTAAATATAGATTAACATTATCATAAAATAATTGACAATGTTATTCATATAATACAAAATTTTCACTTGCACAAAATCATATTTAACGACCACAGGACCACTGGTATTTCATATAAATTAATGCAGTGATCATAAAGCAATTGACAGCTAAATTTCTGCCGTTAAGAGCGCGCGTATAATCACTTAGCTATAAATCTACACATACGTACAAGACAAGGATAAACAATGGATCTTCGAGGTTCAGTGAAGGTTCCTTCATTGTAAAAATGTTATTGTTTTATTACATGTTATGCATTAAATTAATGAAATTAAAAAAAAATAAATTAATAGCATTTTATACGAGAAATATCGGTTCTAGAAATTATGTGCACCACACTGATTACATATACGAGGTTTTTTCAAAAAGTAATGGGAATTGTTAATTTTCTCAAAGTACTTATTTAATCTTGAATTTTTATTCCATCCTTTTCAAAGTAGCATCCTTGTGATATTATATACTTCTGACGACGTAGTTTCCAGTTTGAGAAACACTGGGGGAACGCCTCTTTAGGTATCGTCTTGAACACGGTTTGCGATTTTGCCTTTATCTCTTATTGAAAAACGTTATTCTTTGAGTATCCTTTTGAGTTTGGGAGATAGGGAAAAGTTACAGGGGTCATGTCCGGAGAATAGGGCGGTTGTAGTGTCACAGCGGTGTAGTCTTTCGCCAATAACTGTTGGATAAGCAAAACGGTATGCGCCTGTGAATGGCATGGTGCAAAATCCATTACCACACACAAATTTCCTCAAATCAACTCGATAGACAAAATACAACACACGCAGTTTGAAAATTCGCGTTACTTTTTGATCAAACCTCGTACTAATAAAACGAAGTGCGTGCGTTATAGGCACTTTAAGTAAAGCGTTCATTCTAAGCGTCTTACAATAGAAAATATGACTGTCTAGATGTTTTATGCGAGACGGAAAAATTTATTTTGTCCTGAACAGTTACAGTTGATACTGTAGGTATCAGATGGTATAGAAATGTACATGGCGAAGTCCAAGATAAATTATATTGAATGTGTTCAGACTTAAGGCTGGGCACACGAAAAATTTGATCATTTGATAAAATTTGGGAATATTTTTGGAAGAAATGAACACCAGAAAGGAAATATTTCCAATTTTAGAATTTTTCGCCGATTTATGATTCAAAAAATGGTACCTAGGTTAATAACCGCATACTTAAGCTTTATTAAATGAATGTGGATAAATTATATGTAATTGTTTATTGAATTTCTTTAACCAATCAAATTTTCAAAATTAGATGTCAACACGGTACAACTTACAACTTAAAGAAAAAACAATAAATAGTTTTAAGGCATTTACTAACATTTTACTTTACAATTCTTGAGTGGGGTCATTTGGAGAACTTAATGTTCCATTTGACACGAAAATATATTTTTCTCCCCATATAAATACAGTTGTCTTTGGGGCAATTTAGCATGGGTCATTTTTTAATTTTGAAGTTTTTAGAATTACTTCTTCTTTTTAGAAAAAGAAACCGAGAACTATCCGGAATTCGTCCCGTCTCACTGCCGCTACGTGTGCTGCGCACACGGCTGCAGTTATATCTGCCCGGAGGAGGGGAACCTCCGCCACCACCTCATAGCTCTGCACGACAGCGAGACCTCCTTCACGTGCGTCCACTGCAAAGCCGATCTGACCCCCACCGACGCCGACAGCCTCATCAAGCACTTCAAATTCCACGGCCTGCAGCTGTATAAGTGTCAGTACTGCTCCTTCGTGCACAACCTGAAGCACAAGATCGAGAAACACATCTCCGACGGCCACCTTGATCTCCCAATCAAAATCATCACGGTGAGGTTCATGGAGGCCGAACCCAAGGACAACGCCCAGGAGCCGTCGACGTCGAGCGCGCAAAGTACTCCTGTCCCGCCGGCCGCTACCAAGCTCTACAAACCCTGGAGGTGTTGCATGTGCAAGTACAAGAGCGGCACCCAGGAGGGCATACAGAACCACGTCCTGGAGAAGCACGAGGTCGATTCTCAATTCAAGTGCGCCCTCTGCACGTACAAGACGAACGATAAAGAGACCTTCACCGATCACTTCAAGGACACCCACGACAATCAGGGCATAGATATCATATACGCTTATCGGAAGATGGAAGAGGATAAGGAGAAGGAATCGGAGACATTCGACACCACGCCGCTGTGGCAGAGGGATAGGCCGAGGGTGCGACATATTCGCGGCATACTCTTCGACGAAGCCTCTCCCGCGCCCGTTAAATCTCCGAAGAAGTCGAAATCCGCAACGCCGATGCCTGGACCGAGCGGGGCGAGAGCTGTGGCGCCTTCTCCGGGACCTAGCGGAGTGAAAGCTCCAACGCCCACCCCTGGATCCAGCGCCGCGAATAGCTCAACACCTCCCGAGGCGACAAGCAACCTGGACATATCCATCGAGTCGGTGGTCAACGGCACCGCGGAAATCTTGAAGGATTCCAGCATCTCCGATGACTTCTTTCACACCGTCAACAAGATAATGAGGGAATCGAACGAGGACATAGCCAAGGCGAGAGACAGCATGGTGATCGTAATCGAAGACGAGGACGAGCCAATCGCGAAGAACAAGGATAACAAGGACGCGCCCGTGGCGAAGAACAGGGCGACGAAGAGGAAGGGCGCGGATGTGGCGGGCGTCAGCAAAATCGCCAAGATCAGCGACGAGATCATTGACCTGGAGAGCAGCGGCAGCGACTCGGAACAGGACGAATTCAGCGAAAGGAATCTGAAGTTGCGCTTCGGCGGATTCGGAATGCCGCTCTGGAAGCAGTTCAAATGTCCCATGTGCAACATGTTCAAGTCCAAGAGGATATCCGACTTTGTCTTCCACCTCTTCAAGGAGATGAAGGTGTTCAGGTAGGGGTTGGTCCGATATTATGAGTCCGTTTTTTTCTAAATTTGTTATTTGGTTCTCAGGTTCAAGTGCAAGGTGTGCACCGACGAGAGCATAACTTACCGCTACATGCACAAACACGTCAGTGACCACCACCAGGAAAGGATCAGCAAGGATGAGATAGTTTTTTTGCCGCCTAACGAGAAGTTGCTGGCCTGGCTGCAGATGGTCATCAGGGAGCAGAGCGTCATCATCACGCAGAACTACCCGAAGTCCCCACAGCCCGCGGCCGCCGGAGACCAGGACCCCGTTCAGTGCGACTTCTGCAGCTCAAAGTAAGTAATGAAAAAAAAATCGGGGTGGGTGTGTAAATTACCATCTAGACGTGACGTCACTGCAGTGGTGACGGGATGCCTTGATTTGAAACCACGAAATGAAACTTCGACTGTTTGTTATTAAAATTTCTGTGAAATCGAATAAATTACACGTTATAGGTTTAACTATGAACAAAAAAAAAAAACAACTATTCACCGTGTAACTTTGAATTTCTACGGAGGCTACCTGTGACCATCAGAAATGCATAATTTGTTTTCTCAAATGCCGCCGTGAAAACTGATTTTTACTTTTTAAATTGTTGAATCTCATTTTTCTTATCTGTATGACTTGGAAAACTCGTTGGTATCCCCCTAAATGTTCGTAATTTTGAAAAATGACTCACTGGACTTGTTTACATCGCGAATTATACTCGCAGTTAAAATATTTGTGCACATTTGATATTCATTATGTACAATTTAAAATTTTTGGAGATAAGAATAGTCCACAGCACAGGCCCCCTGGAAAGTTGATTACCACATACTTTATAACTCGTGTGAAGCTTCGTTTTGACGAGTCTACCACACTTTTCCTCTGCGACTTTTCTCGATTCCTCCGCTTTTCCACTCGGAAATGTCCAAAGACATGCCAATTTCCCGCGGTCTTGAAAAGGCAAGACCATATCTTTTTTTTAGCTTAAGTTACTGGAAATTTTGTTGCAAATACCGATTTAAATTTGTCCGGGTATTGAAAATCAATTACCACATGGGTAATTTTTAGTAAAATTAATTGTAAATAATTAATTCACTCAAAAAGTATTGTTGTCCGACAAATTTCAAGCCGCCTTTTTTTCAGTCCGACAGCTGGAAATCGGAATTTTCACGGGGTATGATAAACCGATTACCACATATCTAATTTTCATTTTTTCCACTTTTAAATTTACTGTACAAAATAGTGATGTAAGTGTCCGACGATTTAATGTCCGCAAATTATAAAAAAAATCAATAAATCAATAATCGTGATGAAATTTAATTTTTTCACTCCAAAAATTTCATATTTATAAATGGTTATTAATTATTATTATGTAAATACCCGGAGAAAGAAACACTGCTTTTTTATTCACACAACGGAAGTATTCGCAATAAACACGTATCGCCGTTAACAGTGGTAATAGTCTTTTTATATATTTTTTTTAATTATACCTTTTTAATAATAGCTCTTGTACCTACTTCTATTTAACTTTAATACTTTAATGAAAATTTGATTTGATTTAAATTAGCTTAATTTTTTAAGTTAAAAGGTAATAGTTGCCGAAATTATTAAATTAAACTGGCAGCAATGCGCTTGCCGACGCCTATCAGTTACGACCACGACTACACCATAATACAAAGACTAAAGTCGGCTTTATAGAACTACGATTGTCGCTAGCTACAGCAATTTTCACCAATCAACTACTTGTACTCCTCTTCGTATCTCCCTCTTTACTGTCGCTGGCTGCTATCTTGTGAAGTTCAAATTTCCTAATTTATAAGGTTATGTTTTATTACTTTTGTTGTATATGGAAAGATCTGACCATTTTTATTTTTTTTGTTTTTATTTATTTTATTACCAGCATCTAAGTGTCATCTTAATTCTTGACTAAATAAACGTCACACCCAAATACTATGATTTCTAGAAATGTATATGATTACCTCAAATAAAAAAATCAATTTAACTTACTACATTATTGTTTTTATTATGCAACTTTCGCCGCCATATCCAATGTATTCCTGAATTTCATGAATTTCTTCTAAATAACAAAATTGACACTATTGACATGTTATGTTTGTTTTGGTTCCTGTCGACACTTGAAAATACAAGTGAAGGGGAGTATCGCCGGCGGCGGCGACAGTTTTAGTTCTGTGAAGCCGGTAGGTATGAAATTGCGCACATCCGCGGCCATATTATGACGTCACATGGCGACCAAACCGATTTGTGAATATTGTCCCTATAGGACTGACGGACAGTGCTATTAATAATAAGCTTTCCTCTCTCTATATGTTACTAAATTAAAAAATATGAGCTATAAATTCTAAAAAGTTGCAGAAGAATTACCGGATAATGTTGATAATACTGAATGGCATGTACTTAATTAATTTACGTGATATTGAAACCAGTTTTTATTTATTAGGTATGTAAACGTGAACAGTTAGCTTAAACTTTATTAATAAATCACTTAAATCATTCTCCACGTAACGACATGCGCCGACCGAAACGGTTTTAGCTCACCGGAATTTCATAACTTCTTTGTATTATGCGACTTAACCACTAATACTGACGTCACCTGGCGATGATGTGCCTGTTGCGAGGCTATGGTTTATATGACCTAATTTTCGTTTCAGATTCCGGAACGAGCAGGAGAAGAACGAGCACTGCGTGAGCCATTGGACCGCGAAGCCCTACAACTGCTCCTCGTGCTCGTACAGTTCATACCTACAGCAAGACGTCCTGAAACACTTCAGGTCGAGCCACGAGAAAGACGCTTCGAAAACAAAGGAGAGCGAAATGATGGTCACCGGGGGACCCACCGTGGAGAGGTTGTTGAAGATTTCCGACGAGCAACACGAGCAGGAGGCCCAGGCCAGGCTGCTTCCGAAGGTGACCGACGTTCCAGTGCTGGTGCCCATTACCAAGAACGTCCAGGACCCCTTGGCCGACATTCCCGTGGACGATCCAGTCAAAGACCCTCTGGACGTCCCGGTGTCTTTGATTTGCGACGAAGAGTTAGGAAATAAAGAAGAGGACGCGGCGCTGAGCGACAGCGACCTGATCATCGTCACGAAAACCGACAGCGCCGACGTGCCGACGGAGGGCGACGTCTACTGCTGCGAGTACTGCGCCTTCATGACCAACTCCGAGGTGCAGGTCATAAGCCACATCAGCGGCTTGCACGAGCACATGCACATCAATTTCAAGAAGCTGAACAGGGCGAGGTGTGAGGACCCCAAAGAGCACGTGGGGTGTTCCTTGTGCTCGGAGGTCGGTTCCGAGGTGAAGATCCGCCTGCATCATATGGAGAAGCACGATAGACTGCCCCTGTACCTCTACAGGTACCAGTGCGCGTTGTGTCCCCAACGGAAGAAATTCCTGAAGTTCATGGGGCTGAAGGTGCACTTCAACAGGGTGCACCAGGGGGCCCCGATGCAGTACACGTCCATATACGGCTGCAACACCGGCGGGAAGGCCGCCGGGGGAATGAAGACGTACAAGTGCCCCATCTGCCCGTACGTGAGGAATTTCAAGCCCAACGCAGTGAACAACATCCGGCAGCACGTCAAGCAGCATTTCAAAGCCTTCATGTGCGGGATCTGTTACACCACCAAGTACAAGACCAGGGCGGACGTCCTGTTGCACTTCTCTAAGGAGCACCCCGAAGTGCAGGACCCGAGGGTAGAGCAGGACATGCAGCTGGTGGATAACTATAACTCCACCATGGCTGGCATAATCGCGTCCGCCGTCGAGGTTGCCAGGGAGCCGGAGGTAAAGAATACGGCGAAGAAATCCACGTCGACACCGCAAACGTCGAGCGGCGCGCAGGAGTACACTTTCTACGGTAACCAGCCCGAGGAGGTGGATCTGAGCAAGATCATGACCTCGGTGGAGGTGAACGGCATGCACCTTAACATGTCGGCAGAGAGGCTGGCCAAGATCTTCGATCTGAACGTTGTTGTGGCCCTAGAGGACTGCAACCTCTCGGTGAACCTGTCCAGCGTGTTTGACTCTTGACCTGACTTAAGCCACATGGAGTTCAACTTCGAGGACTTCAACGAGGACAGCCTAGAGTTAGACAATATCTTCTCCTCGGTGGAGAACCTCCTAAAGACGTTCGAGAATTACCAGAGCGAGGATTTTTAAGGTTGGTCGCCGACTGTAGGTCCAGGTTTGAGTCATATTGACTTTTGTTTAAAAAGCGTTCCTGGATAAGTGATCACATGACTTTTTGATTTTTGAGTTATTCCGAACGAGTTTTCTCTAAACTTGTGTAAATATGTTAAGTTTACTGTTAGTTTTTAAAAGTCTAACGCGGATCTGTGATTGTATTAGCAGTTGTGTAAAAAAATAGCGTTAAGGACATTGTAAAAATGATGTAAATATCTTTAGTTCCTTAAACATAATGTGAAGACTTATAGGTTAAGTTAAGAAATAGTTTTTGTTGCTTTACTTTTTTATTACATTTTTCTAAATAAATGAGGCATATCAATATTATTTTTTTTATTCGCTGCTATGAATGGGTGCTAAATCAGGTAAGTTTGGTGGCTACTGTAATGGATGTCCACTTTAAATTGGTTGAAAACACTTTGAAGGTCGTCAAAAAAAAAACAAATATTGGCTTAAAATCTTCATTTCTCTTAAAAGCCTCGTTTTCTGAAAGATGGACTTGGATTAGCCTGTTCAGTTCCAAATTCAATTCACAATGGTTTCAGTTTCAATAACATTTTCCTTCCCAGTTATTTTATACTTTTTTAGTTGGAAACTAATTGTCTCTAAAGAAAAAAAGTACAGCTTTTTTGTGAATCTGTCCAGACTGTTCGAATGATGATCTAACTTATACCACATGGAGTGTAGCGTTGAGGACTTCAACGGGGATAGCCTGGAGTTAGACAATATTTTCTCTTCCGTGGAAAACATCTGAATTACCTGAATGAGGGTTACTAAGTTTGGCGCCGATTGCAGGTCCAGATTTGATTCATATCGACTTATTTAAGAATGGTTCCTGGACATACGTTTGGTCGAAAATGCTTTAAAGGTCGTCAAAAGTTACCTAAAAAAACAAATATAGACCCAAAATTCATATATTTTTTTAAAACTGTTTAATTTGCCCGATTCCAAATTTAAGTTACATTGATTTCAGTTTCTATAAAACTTCACTTTCCAGTTTTACTTTAGTTGGAAACTATAATTGTCTAAAGAAAAAAAGTACAGCCTTTTTGTGAATCTGTCCAGTGTGTTCGACTGCTGATATGACAAGCAACATGGACTTTAACTTTGAAGACTTCAACGAGGATAGCTTGGAATTACCTTCTTCACAGTGGAGAACTTCTTCCGAATTACCAGGACGAGAATTTTTAAGATTGGCGCCGACTGAAGGTCCAGATTTGAGTCATATTGACTTTTATTAAAGAATAATTTCTGGACGTAGTTACATGACTTTTCAATTAAGTTATCCCGAACGTGCAAATGTCCGTATATACCTACCGTTAAGTTTACTGGTAGTTTTTAAATGTCTAACATGAATCAGATTGTATTAGCAGTTGCGTAAAAAAAATATTACCGAAGGACAATGTAAAAATAACATAAATATCTTTAATTCCCTAAATAAGGTGAAGACATAGGATAGATAGGTAATATAAGAAATAACTTGTTGCTTGACATTTTAATTACATTTTTTAAAATAAATGAGACGTTTCAGTATTTTTTAATGTGCACTCTAATAAGGGGGTGTGCTAAATCAGGTAAGTTTGGCCGCTATTCTAATGGATGATAATAATTGACGAGGATATAATCATTTGCGCTTTATTGTTGAAAATTGTCCAAAAATGTCTATATATCTTTCAAAAACGAAAACTTCGATTAGAATTCAATTTTAATAACACTTCAAATCGTTATTAATGTTACAAATTTTTAGTTGAAAACTGCAATTATCTAATACTTCGTTAAAAAAATGTCTGTTAACATATTTACCTATATAATGTCGAATATAGCAAGTTAAGCTTTTACAAAATTTCTCCACGCAACAATTGCCCAAATCACAAAACTTTCTGTACAGTGCTGAGGTATTCTATTCCTCTTAATGTTATTTTAATAGCCACGCATTTTATTTCGAATCAATTTTCCCTGTAACGCAATCAACAGCAAAATGTGTCATAGGGAACGCAGCCAACGCAGTAGAAATTGACAACTCGCTCAAGCTTCTGACTAGTAACGCTATCGTGCGATAGGTGACGGAAGCTGCTTGAAAACAAAAACAACCTATAAAATCCTGAATTGTTAGAAAATTGTTTATTTTCCCGTGTTTTGTTCTCACTTGTCTAATAGCAGACGCTGCACAAATACTTGGTAAGTTAAAGATAATTTAAGTTTATATTTTCATTAGTTTTATTCAAAGTTTATTTAGTTGCAGATTGAAAGTGTTTCGGCAGTGAAAAACAATGACGCTTACTACGAAACAAGCACGAAAATTGTAGAAGGAGCACATTGAGAAATTTTCGTAAAGACATATCTTGTACTTATTTGTAAATTATTTTATTAATGGGAATGTCAAACAGAAGAAAAGTCGGTACATTAACTCCACAGACTTTTCGGGAAACGCCGTTCTGAAAAATTACAGCCGTCGTACCATTTATAATCCGTGCTTGGCCAGAGCACGGCGCAGTTAAATTTTAATTATGAACAGAGGTTCGTTAGGGTTTTCCATCAAACTAAAGAAAAGTCGTTATTTACTTTAATTATCCCTTCCTGTGTTTTGCAGCTAGAAGTTTAGAGAGATTAAATCGTTTTTGCCAAGACGGTTTTTTACCCTTTTGATAAAAATCATAATTGCAACAACGTGTGGACAACAGAACTAATTTCAAGTTTGTAGTAGGTATTTCCGCCCGCTTCACACTGCCATTTCTAATGCCAACATCACAGAAAATATGCAGCACCTATAGAAAATTACCTTTTTATTGTTTCTTTTCAAGTACCAGCGCCAAACCATTTTAAACACAAATCTCTGTCTAATTTTAAAGAGATTTCCCCAGCCTGTGTTTACTTTTATCCCTTATCGACCTGCCCTTGTGTAAAAAAGCACTTGACATCAAACAGGCAGGTAAGGGCAGACTGCAACCCATCCAAATACCCCCCACGGAGGTTGCAAACAAGTGCCTTTTACACCTCAAAGATGGAACAATAGACCACNACTTTTGTGTTATTTTATAGGTTTCAAATATTTCATAAATAAATTTTAAGGCAAGTATTTATGTCTACTTTATTTGTCTCTAGCATTACAATTTAATGTACATTTTATTAAGTTATAACTATGAACTTATCCGTTGTGGAATACATTTCCTATTTACATATATGCCAACGAAAACTCTCGTTGTATATCACAAGGAGAGGCGGTTTTTAAGACTGATCATGTGGTACTATATGGGAAAATTGGGCAAAGTTATTTAAATTTAGAAATTTATATTATGTCTGAAAACTAGTGCCCTTACTTACTAACAACCCTCATGAAATTCAGGGAGTATTATCTATCGGCAACCCAGATAACACACAATATCCATTGTACGTCCATTTTATGTCCATTTTTAATCCGGTCGTCCATGGACTTAAAATGGATGTCCATGGAATTTACACAAAAAATCATACAATGGATATCCATTAATGTGTGTACATTAGCTGTCCATTTTATGTCTACTTCTGGACACTAGGTCCATATGAATCTCACTTGAATGTAAAATGAACATATATAGATAAAATATACTCAAATAGTAAAAGATGTATATTCGATATATTCATACAATGAAATTATTACTAAAGTTTTGTATATTTCTGAGTTGGTAGTATAATCTATCTTAAGTTTGGCGCAGTTGGCAGTAATGACCACATCGAATTATTGTCAAATGTCAAATAATTCGCAATGTTTTTCCTTTCCGTTTTCCCTCGTTTTTACTCTTGTCGATTGTAAGTGGCCGTTGTTAATAAATATTTGTGGATTAATAATAATTAAAGTATTTCCTTCCAAAAATAAAACAAAAGTAACGTTTACAAAGTGCTAGTTTAGTGGATCGTTCAGATAAGTATTTATTTATTTCACCATGAATGGACAAAATAATAAAAGGAAACTTTTAAATAAGTATTATAAAAGAACTAGGAAAGAATTTGTTAATAGACCTAGAAATACATTGAATATTAATAAAGGGACAGATGAATTTTCTAGTTCTGATTCTGACTGCGAAGGGGGCGACAACTTTATGAATTTAGCAGTTGAAGAAAACCTTTTTTCAGCTAACTCAAGCTCAAGCAATAGTAGCGTAACGAAAGAAGCTGACCATCTTCAGAGTGATGATTACACCATTCTTTCCCACGAAATTTTAACAGATTTAAATGAAATTAAAAATGAAACTACGAGTAGTACTGCTTTATCAGTAGAAATAGGTGCTTGGGCCGTCAATTATAATATTCCCCATACAGCAGTAAACGAGTTGCTTCGTATCTTGTCCAAGAATTTAGTAACTAATGTAGATGCTAAACTTCCCAAGGATTCACGTACTTTATTACATACTCCTAGAAATATTGGAAAATCTTTAAGAATAGTTGAACCTGGTGTATATTATCATTTTGGCCTTAAAAAATGTCTCGAGAAGCTTATTATGTGTTCCAAAAGTGTTTTGCTTAATTCCAAATCATTAAATATTTGTATAAACATTGATGGTTTACCGTTATCCCACAGTTCTGGTAGCCAACTGTGGCCTATAATGTGCAATTTATTCAATAATAAAAATATTGTTAATGTAATTGCAATTTATCAGGGAAATGAAAAACCTGAAAATGCTAATGAATTTCTACAAGAATTTGTGACAGAAGCAGTAGATATCCTAACTAATGGTTTTACTTTTAACGGTTATAAATATGAAGTACACATTAAAGCTTTCATATGTGATGTCCCAGCAAAGTGTTTTATCAAATATACAAGAGGACATAGCGGTTATATGTCTTGTTCTAAATGTCAGATTGAGGGTACTTTTAAAGATCATCGAATATGTTTTCCGAATATTAATAATTTAATTTTAAGAAATGATTTGCAGTTCAGATCTAAAGAACAGGACAATCATCATACTGGTACTTCATTATTGGAGATGCTTCCAGATGTTGACATGATTAATCATTTTCCATTAGATTACATGCATCTTGTGTGTCTAGGTGTAATGAAAAAATTAATAGTAAATTTATGGCTGTCTGGAAAGCCACCTTCAAAATTATCTTATCAACAAGTTACAGATATTTCAAATTTGCAATTAAAATATGTAAAAAATATTCCTAAAGAATTTTCACGTAAACCAAGATCTTTAAAAGAAGCTAGAAGATGGAAAGCGACAGAATTTAGGTTATTTTTATTCTATACTGGTCCTTTAATTTTAAAATTGATATTAGATGCTGATAGATATTTAAATTTTTTGTGTTTACACGTAGCAATGATTCTATTATCAAAATGTAAAAGCCGTGAAGATATTGATTATGCACGCTCCTTATTAAAATACTTCGTTGAAACATTTATTATTTTATATGGTGCTGAAAATGTGTCACACAATGTTCACAATTTACTTCATCTTTGTAATGATGTTGAAGATTTTGGTAGTTTGGAAAATTTCAGTGCTTTTCCATTTGAAAATCACATGATGTTTTTTAAAAAATACGTTAGAAAAGGTAACCAGCCTCTTCAACAAATTGTAAATAGAGTAAATGAATATGATATGTTCAGTACAATTGAAGTGCAAGAAGAGATATTTCCTAAACTGCTAAATGAGCATTTTGAAGGACCATCACTAAATTTGCAATTCAGTAAACAATACAAAAAAATAGAATTTAAGAATTTTTTGTTAACTACGTCTGAACCAGATAATTGTTGTATTGTTAACGATGCAAGTGTTATTAGTATCAAAAATATTGTTTCTCTTAACAGTGAAGTTATACTTATAGGACAAAGTTATCTTACACTTGAAGATTTATATTTGAAACCATGCAGGTCATCTGAATTAGGAATATATATTGTTAGCAATAGTGGCCCTTTACAGTCTTGGAATATAAAAACAATTTCCTGTAAATGCTTCAAATTAGAATTTGAAAACAGACATGTTATAATTCCAATGTTGCATACTAAATAAAATTTATAGCTATATTTATACAGGGTGTTGCATAAATAGTAATTTGTGGTTACGTGCGTCTTTATAACAATGGACAAGACTAGTTGGACAATAGTAAAATTTGACCAGGAAGATAGTGTTGAAGCTGTTCCCAGTACATGGATTGTAGGTAACTCATGTTATTGGCCACCTACCACAAACCAAGAAAGGATAACGTCTGCTATTCGGAGACATGATATCCCGAGTACGTGCTGGCCCCAACACAAAATTAGTCTATTAAAAAATGCTGTTTTTGGTAAGAATTTTTACTGCTTTTGTTAATGTTAACATCAAAATCGTTTTGCCTTCTGTGTTTATTAAATTAGTATTACTAATCTTAGATTATGAAGTAAAAATTATATAATTTCTGTAGAAGGTATAAATGTTGTGTACATTATTTTTAGATAATTACACAGAAGCACGACAAAAAACCAAAATTGCTGAATATTCCAGCGATTTAAACGAAGAAATATCTAGCCGAAAAATTAGATGTAGGAAAGGACAGTCATCATCCGAGACAAGTTCAGAAGACGAAATACAAACCATCCCAGAACCTCCGGGTAGGCGATCAAAAACACAATTAGGTAGTACGGTTCAGTTTATTTTATGTGTTGAAGTCCAAATGATTAAACCTAAATAGTAAATTAATTTAACTCTGTTAACAATATACAAGTTTCTTATGAGAGGAATTCATGTTGCATATGCCTTATTAGTTTAAAGTACCTAGGTATATAAATATAAAATTTTTATTATTTTTACAGATGTGCGGAGTAATATCGATAATCGCATGCGGAGTAATACTGATAACCACATGCAGAGTAACACCGATAATCACATACGGAGTAATACCAATAATCAGATTAGCTGCATTTGTTGTCCTTTGCACAAAAAAGGTATGTGTAAATAATATGGAGACATATTCCTATTTTTAAGTCAGTCAATTTCTATATGATAAATAGAAGTGTATTTTTTACTATCGTTTTGTTTAAATTTGTATATTCCTTTTTAGATATTTTGGGACAGAAGGATATCGTATCTATGCTAGAAAATATGAATTCCTTGGTTAGAAAATTTAATTTATTATTAAATATTACTACTGACACCCTAGACGAATTGAAGAACGTGAAAAAACATTTAAATAACACTAGTAAGGACGATGAAACAGAATCAGTCTTGAATAAGTTTAATGTACCCATTACATCTATTGAAGACTTCTATAAACTTGAAGAATTTTTAGAAGTGGAGGATAATTTTAAAAAATCTGTAAGTTGAAAGATACTTTGAAAAATAAGAGACATGTTCTGACATTGCAGCGATTCGGACTGTATGGAACCGAATTTAAACTGTCACATTTTTGGGTTAAATCAGTGAGATCATGTTTGCAGTTTCCGTGTGAAGTACGAATATGTTTCCTCCTGTCATTTAGATAAAACATATCAATGGGTTGAAATAATATTCTTAAGATTTTTAGTTTTACGTTTATTTTTAGGTATATGAATTTTCAAAAATTGGAGGAAGCAACACATACGACTTCATAAGAAGAGTTTTATCTGTCATTATAACAAATAATTTGGCCCAAAATTTTACATGGTTCGGAACAAAGGAAAAAAAAGCATTTCAGAAGCTAAAAATATCTGAAGTTATTATTGGTAAGTTGAACTAGATAACCATTTAAAAAAAAACAAAAAATTTGGGTCTCAATATATTTTTTTATAATTTATAACGGAAGGGCGAATAAATCAATTGGTATCTATTGTTTTAGACAAAAACAAACTTATGTATTTTTGAAAAGACAGTCAAAGACATATGAAACTAATAATGGTTATCTTTTTAGAAGCTGCAGGAAAATGCGATATTGGAGACCGGAAGTTGGTGGAAGAAGCTGTAAAAAAATATTTGCGACGGGCCAAGGAAAGGGCCGTTTTCGAAAATAAAAAATATACCACTTAGTAATGAACTATTAAACATTCATGCAAAACTGATTTTGTTTTATTTTTAATATAATTGTACCCTAATTTTTTATTAAAGATTGTATATAAAATGATTAAGGTAAAAAGAAAATTAGCTTCATACAGAACTGTATTGTGTGCTCTATTTTTGCTTTGTTTTATCGACAGAATGACAGTACAATTTATATAAGGTATTCAAAATTAAGTCGATGTTTAATATAGGAGCTATAAAGTTTATGCTGATTTGTAATGGTAAAAGCAAGTTTTAGACAGACGACCACTCGTATGAATTACATACAACTTGATGAAGTCTTATCTACAGGGTGTCTCTAAAAGGTCTGAACAACGTCCTACCACATATTCTTGGGGCCAAATTATTATCTAACCCAACTTACCTTAGTTCAAAATTTGATAGTTTCCGAGATACGGGGTACTGAAGTTACAATTTTATTTTTTTCTTCAATAACTTTTTTATTAATTGTAGTAAATACGTAAAAGTTGATATGGGGGAGTTTTCTGGCATGAGAAACTGAAATATGGACTCGAATTTGCTGTAAATTATAGAGGGCACCACCTAGAATACTTTACATGCATTGAAATTGTTATAACTTTTTGTGCCATGGTGTTTTGAATTTTTAATCCAAAATTCTTATTCTCTGACGTTTTTTATACAAAGAAAGTATACCTGGTAAATGTTTGAGCAACCATTTCTTGGATAACTGGATTTAAATGTTTAAAACATCCATTATTGTTAATATTTTGGACAGCTAATGGATGTCCATCATGGAAGTACTATGGACACTGGTAGCTGGACAACTTATGGTTGTCCAAAAATGTAGCCACTGTATGATCCAATGAATGTCCAGTGGACATCCTTGTTCCATAAACGGATATCCTATGGACGTACAGGGTACCAATATCTATATGTCCGTAGGACGTCCAATGGATATGTTTGTGCTATTAGGGAATATTATTTTGAAAATTTCTTCAATGGTTTGATGAAAACTTAATTCTGGATTTTTCTTGGACCATGAAGAGCAACCTTGAACTGAACAATAATAGTTTGACAGTTTCTTCTTTCTATCCATAATTGCTGAAATTTTCCTCACACTATTTTTTTTAAATAACAGTGTTCAAAAAACGAACACTAAATACAGTTTTAAATAAAATACAAAACGAAATGTCACACACAGAAGAAATGTTTACCTTGCTTCGCTAGTATCACTTGTCACCGCCAGAGAGCGAGCTCTTAGCTGCATTCGCGAATAATGTCGAATATATAGCAAGTTAAGCTTTTACAAAATTTCTCCACGCAACAATTGCCCAAATCACAAAACTTTCTGTACAGTGCAGAGGTATTCTATTCCTCTTAATGTTATTTTAATAGACACGTATTTTATTTCAAATCAATTTTCCCTGTAACGCAATCAACAGCAAAATGTGTCATAGGGAACGCAGCCAACGCAGTAGAAATTGACAACTCGCTCAAGCTTCTGACTAGTAACGCTATCGTGCGATAGGTGACAGGAGCTGCTTGAAAACAAAAACAACTTATAAAATCCTGAATTGTTAGAAAATTGTTTATTTTTCTGTGTTCTCACTTGTATAATAGAAGACGCTGCACAAATACTTGGTAAGTTAAAGATAATTTAAGTTTATATTTTCATTAGTTTTATTCAAAGTTTATTTAGTTGCAGATTGAAAGTGTTTCGGCAGTGAAAAACAATGACGCTTACTACGAAACAAGCACGAAAATTGTAGAAGGAGCACATTGAGAAATTTTCGTAAAGACATATCTTGTACTTATTTGTAAATTATTTTATTAATGGGAATGTCAAACAGAAGAAAAGTCGGTACATTAACTCCACAGACTTTTCGGGAAACGCCGTTCTGAAAAATTACAGCCGTCGTACCATTTATAATCCGTGCTTGGCCAGAGCACGGCGCAGTTAAATTTTAATTATGAACAGAGGTTCGTTAGGGTTTTCCATCAAACTAAAGAAAAGTCGTTATTTACTTTAATTATCCCTTCCTGTGTTTTGCAGCTAGAAGTTTAGAGAGATTAAATCGTTTTTGCCAAGACGGTTTTTTATCCTTTTAATAAAAATCATAATTACAACAACGTGTGGACAACAGAACTAATTTCAAGTTTGTAGTAGGTATTTCCGCCCGCTTCACACTGCCATTTCTAATGCCAACATTACAGAAAATATGCAGCATGTATAGAAAATTACCTTTTTATTGTTTCTTTTCAAGTACCAGCGCCAAACCATTTTAAACACAAATCTCTGTCTAATTTTAAAGAGATTTCCCCAGCCTGTGTTTACTTTTATCCCTTATCGACCTGCCCTTGTGTAAAAAAGCACTTGACATCAAACAGGCAGGTAAGGGCAGACTGCAACCCATCCAAATACCCCCCACGGAGGTTGCAAACAAGTGCCTTTTACACCTCAAAGATGGAACAATAGACCACTTGTAAAGGGAGGGTACTACCCACTACGCCTTTTGTTTGCAGTCTTTTTATTTGGAAAAGATTTTGGTGTAAGATATTGCCGTCTCTTTTGGATGCATTCCTGGGGTGATTAAAGAATAGCACGTGCATAGGCTCCTTGTTGACAGTTAAAATTTCCTCTAAATGTATACAATACAGGGTGTCTGGACCGAATGGGTATGTCTCAGTAGCAGTTTCTTTGGGTAAAAATAAATCGATTTAACGTTACCTCAATACAATTTTGCTTCAGTAAAAAGTTATCAGCTTTAAAAAAAAGAAAGGTATTTATTTTCTTTAGCATAACTGCATTATTTCAATGAAATTTGATATGGATCAGCTTATTTTTAACCCAAAACATAGAGGTCGCTAGGAACACCTTAAACAGTGTTTTGTTTTTTTGCCACATTTTTTTATTGGTAGGGATTTTCAGAAAACGGGTTTTATGAAACCCCACGTTATCATCTTTCATTGAAATATGACTATTATAATAAAATTAAGCAAATTTTCCTTGAAAGCTCGTAACTTTTCAAAGTAAAAGGCAACTTGAAGTATGGCTTATTCGCTTCTGGACACCCTGTATGCCTGTTGACCCGACTGCCCATTTTATGTAACTTATAAATAAAGTTAATTTTAGAATATTAATTATGTCTTTTTCAACAGAAGTTGTCAGAAATATTGATTTACAAACAAATGTACTTTGAAACACTTTATTTCTTTATTTTAAATCTGTTCTTTGTGAATATCACATATATCACTCAACTTCGACCTACAAACAGTTCTCTGCAATACAATACCGACATTTCATCTCCTTTTTTCGCATTTTTTTATACAAATAAATATTTTGAGAAGTAATTGGAGGACGACGTAATTTATTTTAAAAGGAAACAAGAATATCAGAGGGAATCCTGCTTAAAATCTTTTTCCCGCATACAGGGTGGCCGGAAAAAATGACCTTTGAGGAAAATATTAATTTATCGAGATATTTCTATATGCATCGGTGCTACTGTTTTGTCTAAAAAAAATTAAATTTTCAGCATATCGCAAATAATGTAACATCCAAATTTTGTCCGAGTTGAATAAAAATTTCCAAAGTTATAAAGGATATCTCTTAAAGAGACGACTAAGCTTAGTCAACTTTTATTTGTATTTTAACAAATTGTAACTCTCCCAAAATATATAACATTTTTGTTACAGCTTGTACATTTTCTACAACAGCGTGTTTGGAGCATCTCTACTTATGCTTTATCAGTATCATTTAAGACCTTGACCTTTTCTGTAAAAAATGTTAAAATTACGCTTTAAAAATAAGTAAAAGAAATATTTTTAAAATGACTTACATATATTCATTCTCTTAAAAATGTATTGCATTTTGTTTATCGTGTTTCATTGTAATTCCTCAAAATAATACATATTAAAATAGTATAGAATATTGGCGTCGTTACAGGAAGGGATTTTTAGTGACCTCTGTTAGAATATGGACTGCTATTACTGCTTTAAACTGTTCCGTCAATTTGAACATGCGCGTGACATGTGTTGATTTAATTTTTTTTTAATGAAAATAGTTATCATAGTACACTTGACAATTTTGTTGGAGTCTGTTTATCACATATCATTGGATTAAAAAAAAAATCAATACCGTATGAAATAAAAAAAGTATACCTTTCATTACGTTGAAAATAACGATAGTATTTTTTAGCCATTAACGCCAGTTCTTTGATTTTTAAAATCGAAACAAAAGCGAATTTATACCTTGAGGGCGTTTTTATGATGCGTGACTTTCAGTGAATTTATAACAGTATTTTGACGACGGTTTTAGAAAATCTAAGCAAGTTAGAAACAACATATCTTCACAGTATAGTCTTTCTGAAGTCAGTTGAACATGTATAAAAACGCCTAGCAATAAAATTTAATGAGTTTCATAGGCGTCCCTAAAAAAAGTTTTCTGCTAAAGGTACAAAATAATATTAATTTGTATATAATGTGTAGAAAATTTCTGTTATATGTTCATTTGGCCAACAACATATTTTAATTATTTATGCCCTCAAACAATTTTATTATATTGAGGTAAATTTTGGTTATGACGTATCAAAAAATATGCTCGCCAAGAACCAACGGGAAGGTACATATCCTTGCCAAGAAAGGATGAGGAAAGGTTGTCAGTTTAGGTTAGTTATTAAATAAAAATAATCAACAATAAAGTAATTCCTCATTGCTGTACTGCACTGCTAGGCAATTTGCCAACAACTGAAATTTATGGCCCAGTCGCCCAGTGCGACTGTGTTTGTGCGGTGTTTGCCCACGCGCGAATTCTTCAACTGCTCTATACATTTCTATCATTTCATATTATGTGAACAAGTTTTTCAAATATTTCAATGCCGAGTTGCTACTTTGTGACCGAACCTGATACGTACTGCCTAGCTCTTTGGTCTTCAATTGAGATCGGAAAGACTAAGCTTTTATTAAAATGCACTAAAAAGAAAATAATAAACCAAGTAGTTCATAAAACCCATGAATGCTGTGTATTCCCCAAACCCACAAAAGGGTTGAATATGGCTGCTCTATAAAAGTGTCATTTTTACTTACGTATTGTTTCGTGTGTTTTTAAGATTGTTATCTATTATAAAATCAATGTGAGAAACATGGGCGTAGGTAGGTTTGGGATGGGCTCAGGGCCGTATTAGCCTAAGGTGGGGCCTGGGACTGCAAGCTGTATGGAGGCCTTTAAAAAAAATGGTCACTTCACACAATCAGTGACTTACCGATTCAAAACCTAAACACTTTCGTTTGATTTTAAAAAAAGGTCACGCAATCACCGACTTATCGGACTTACCGATATAAAATTTCAAAACCGAAACACTTTTTGGTTTGATTCTAAATAAACACTATCAGCGATTTACCGCACTATCAGAAAGACGATATTGGATCTTTTAGTAGTAGAAGCAAAAGAATGGACTTTCACTATAAAAAATAATGTTGAGCACATTTATCATATATTTCAATAGTAGGTACTTAAAATAAAACTACTTACCGATTATATTCGATCTTTTTTCAATATTTTGTACCTAAATTTTTCCGCCCTACCTGGTATGGAAGTGAAGATCTGTCACTGCTTATACTTCAGATTCTGATTACTCTACAGATTCCATATTTGCACCCGATTAGTACATTGTTAAACCTATATCTGCATATCATATTTCAAAAAAATTTGTACATTTCTTCCACCAGAATTCTCAAATGAAGTGTATGATAGAATGATGCTATTTTCATGGATTATTTTCAAAAATAGTTCATAAAAATAAACCGTAACTGATTCTTTTGGCACATTATTTTATTTCACAGATGGGAAAAATATCAATAAACATGGATAAAACAAACTATATAACAAATAAAAGGAAAAATTGAAATTGTACTACAAATAAGTAACTTGAGACAGCAGCTAATGGCGCTGTCTGTAATGTGTCGGGTCGACACAATCGAACGGTGTGACGTCACAAATGTTTTGCTAATAGCCTGGACCCTTTCAAATATCGCACAAGTTAGAAATTATTTATCACGGTTCATATTGAAGGTATCGTCCTGATTTTTTCACCACATGTTTATAGGCTATTGATTATATCCAAAAAAACGGTGTTAAAAGGAACTATGGCGTTCAAGCAATGTTATTGCATGAATCGTTCAAAGGGTCATTTTAGATGAAAAAACCGCGTAGTGCTATTAAATTAGAGGGTGGAAATTGGAGATAGGGGTGAAAATGCACCCCTTTCAGTTTTTCAATTGTAGCTCGAAAATGAAGCAAAATTTCGCTATAGTTCATAGGGAAAATTATTTAGAGAATTGAATTTTCCATCGAAGTAGCTTATTTAAAAAATTTAAAAGGAAAATTTTATGCAAACAAATCGTTAACAATTTGAAAAAAAGCAAAAAATTCGGTTTTCTGTTTTTTTTTTCTTTTTTGCCTCTAGTTTTTTTTTTGAGTGAAGATAGGTATAGGCAATGCTTCATAGAAAAAAAAGTAGATAAAATTTCCTTCAAAACAACAAGTTGTAAAGTATTTTTGAATGAAAATTGACTGATATATGGCCTCTCAAACTTAACCAATTTTTCGATTTTCGTCGTGTTTACCCCTTATACGTTTTCATTCTCATTTTCTGCAAATAAGGAAGGCAATAAGACGTTCAAAGGTTTTCATCACATGACTTGTTCGAAGGGTCATTAAAAATGAAAAAACCACGGGGTGCTATTAAATTAGAGGGTTGAAATTGAAGATAGGGGTGAAAAAGCATTTTTACAGTTTTTTAAATATGGCACGAAAACGAAGCAAAATTTCGGTATACATAGTTCATAGGAAAAATTTTGTAGAGAATTGAATTTCTCATCGAGTGGCTCATTTAAAAAATGTAAAACGAAAATTTTATGCAAAAAATCGTTAATAAACAATTTTAAAGCAAAAAATAAATTTTTTTGATTTATTTTACTTTTTTAATAAAATAATTTAGTAAAAACTTGAGAATTTAAGTACAATAAAGTTTAATTAAAAATGTATATACAGTGTGTCCACGGATGGAGGATGGAGTTGGCAACTCTTGAGTTGAGACTCTTGAGAGTTGAGTTGAGTTGAAAGAGTTGAAACTTTCTTGTTTTTGACTTCATCGAAAAATGTCACTCTTTATAAAAAGTCCTGCCCCTCGAAAAAATGAGACTGTCATACAAACATCTTATATCATAAATTAAAAAAACACGAAAATACTCAAGAGAGAAGTACCATTATTTATTATTTTACACAACATTTTATAAAACAAATCTGTTTATAACCTCAAATAATGTCCTAATACTTTATATGTATAGCTACTTCGTACCTCAAAAATTTAAAATTTTATTTTTAAAATTTGTATTAGACATTGTTTGAGGTTATAAACAGATTTGTTTTGTAAAAATGTTGTGTAAAATAACAAACAATGGTAGTTCTCTCTTGAGTATTTTCGTGTTTTTTTAATTTATGAGCACTCTGTATATCTAATCTAAGATGTTTGTATGACAGTCTAATTTTTTCGAGGGGCAGAACTTTTTATAAGGAGTGACATTTTTCGATAAAGTCAAAAAACAAAAAAGTTTCTCCTCTTGTCAACTCCATCCTCCATCCGTGGACACACTGTATATACATTATGAATTAATCTTTATTGTACTTAAATTCTCAAGTTTTTACTAAATTATTTTATTAAAAAAGTAAAAGAAATTTAAAAAATCTTATTTTTTGCTTTCTTTAAAATTGTTTATTGTTGATTTTTTTTGCATAAAATTTTCCTTTTACATTTTTTAAATAAGCCATTTCGATGAGAAATTCGATTCTCTACAAAATTTTTCCTATGAACTATACCGAAATTTTGCTTCGTTTTCGTGCTATATTTAAAAAACAGCAAAAGTGCTTTTTCACCCCTGTCTTCAATTTCAACCCTCTAATTATATAGCACCCCGTGGTTTTTTCAATTTTAATGACCCTTCGAACAAGTCATGTTATGAAAATTCTTGAACGTCTTATTGCCTTCCTTTTTTGCAGAAAAAAGAGAATTAAAACCTAAAACGTATAAGGGTAAACGCGACGAAAATCGAAAAATTGGCTAAATTTGAGCGGCCATATATCAGTCAATTTTCATTCAAAAATACTTTACGACCTCTTGTTTTGAAGGAAATTTTATCTACTTTTTTTTCTATGAAGCAATGCCTATACCTATATTTGCTCAAAAAAAAACTAGAGGCAAAAAAGTAAAAAAAATTAGAAAATCGAATTTTTTGCTTTTTTCAAATTCTTTGTTAACGATTTTTTGCATAAAAACTGTAAGGGGTGAAAATCTCCAATTTTCACCCTCTTATGTAATAGCACTCTGCGGTTTTTTCATCTAAAATGACCATTTGAACGATTCATATAATAAAATATCTTGAACGTCATACTACCTTTTAAAATCCTATATTCAACAGCCTATTTAGGAAGTTAAGTACTTACGGAAAACGTAAAACCAATTAATAAATTAAATACTACCTACTGAATGTGGAATCTTTCAACCACTGCTTTTGACCAACGGGATCCCCGCACGGACACGGCACGCGCCCATGGCGCCGATGCCCGCGGACCCCGTCCGCCAACAAAGGCACTGTCGTCGCCCCCACCCGACCTCCTCCACCACGGCAGCGTCAGTTGTCGACTCGCCGGTTCTTCGCGTCCCGTCTAGCAGGCCGCGACGCTCCGTTCCCGTCGAAACCGACTCATTCCATCGCCCGCTTCGGCTTGGAGAGCTCCGTCGTCCGTTTCCCGGCTACCAACCTCCTCACGTGTTCTCCGCAATTGTCCCCATTGTCGACCGGACACGGCTACCGGCTGAAAAATGACCCCGTGCGGTTCGCGTACCCTGGTTCTACTCGTGTCCTTCGCGCTCTGGTGTGTTGGGGTTGTTCTCAGTGGCAGTTGCAGGGAGGCGAAGCTCTGCTGCACCGGCAGGGATTCGTCCTGTGTTGTCCAGAAGGCGCCGATCAACGCCATCATCGAGGACCTCAGCGACAAGCCCTGCTACTGCGATCACGCTTGTCTTAAGCTAGGGGACTGCTGTCCGGACTTCAAGGAGGCCTGTGGAGGTTTGTTGGAAAAAATTGTTTTTTACTTACTTATACAGGGTGTTATAATAGGCCCGTTGGGTACCTCAATTTTACTTTCGGAATTAACTTTTTGAACTTGTTGGATCAACGACAGGATTAAGGACCGGGAAACTCTAGTACAAAATATTTTTATTAACTTATTTTATTTTACAACATTCAATACATATTAATATTCATTACAAGACTAGCTGACCCAACAGACGTTTCCTGTTCAAATTTAAATAAATTTGTTAGTGATAAGCACTTTCAGTTTTTCCCGAAATTGCCAATTTTCCGGGCAACTTTTGCAATTTTTCTTTCCCTAAAAACGAAACAGCTTTTAATTTTTATTTATATAGATGAGACACAGAACAAAGAAAAACACACAGATGAGGGAGACACAGAACAAAGAAAATACACTACGATTTGCCAAATAGGAACTAATGTAAAATGACTATGTTTTCTACTACAATTAACAGATATTGTCCGAAGTTGTTCATTTGTGCCATAGTTTTCGTTTTTTCTTTATCTATTGGGTTCTTGCCACCTGTGAAAAAAAATCAGGTGTTATTTTTATGAAAATAGATTCGTCTAACAAAAAATCTCGCACCGAAAAAAGCAGACAAATACAAAAAATATTCATCGCTGTATGTCACGCGCTTTAAAAGGTTGTTTTTCAATTTTAATTATTGTCGACAGTTTAAATTTGTTTGCTTTTGTTTGTGATATCAAATGGTGCTTATTCTATTATTACTTCTTTTAGAATGTATCCAAGTGGTAATCGTAAATGGTGGTACAGCTGTGGACAATAAAAAGTTCATCCTAAATAACTTATGGCAGCATTAAGGGGGTATCTACATCTAGTTAATAAAAAAATAAGATAATTTACAGAATTTACAAACACAATACTGGGAATTTTTTGCTACGTATTTATTAAGTAGTTAAAAAAAATGTTGATAAAATCGTGGTGGTTATATGTCATATGCCATCATCACCTTAAAAAAAAAGGTCCACTTTGTGTAAGCTGTAGAAGCCTTAAATTTCATTTTAAATGAAAAATCAAAAATTTTTTCTTAAATATGTTCGCAGTTGGAGGATAATAAAATCAATAAAAACTCGGAAAGAAAGAAAACGGCCGACATACGAATTTTAGTATCGATTTTTTTATCTTGAAAGTGTTTGAAAGTGAATATTTTCCCCCTATTTTGTTAGTATATCCTCCAATGAATTGAATTTACCGTACCATAGAAGAGCATCGCATAAATATTTCACTACAACAGAAAAATTTCGCATTTTAAATCAACTGTTAATACAGCTGTCTACCGTCAATTATATCATTAATTTACACTTATTTCGCAATGACAATAAAATTCCCGAAAATCGAATAAAAACCTAAAAAGACAGCCATAAAGTAGGCTATATGCTATATGACACGATTGAAGAACCAACCAACAAGAGGTTGACGGTATGTACCAGGTTCAGTCGCTGACGCAGCAACTCGGCATTGAAATATTTGAAAAAATTGTTCCTATATTTATTTAGCCATACCCATATACAGGTCTGGTCGAACGTGGTAGAAATGTATACGCCCAGTTGAAGAATGCGAGCTCGGGCAAATGAAATACAAACACAGCTGCATTGGGCCACTGGGCAATAAAGCTGTTGACAAGTGGTTGATAAATTGCCCAGCAGTGCAGTGCAGCAATGCGGAATTTGGTGTGATTCAGGTAATTTTAATTTATAAGCATTGATATTACAATTGGGAAAGGGAGAAATAATATTATTACAATTAATAAAATTGTTTGAGAACATACATAATTAAAATATGTTGTTGGCCAAATGAACATATAATAGAAATTTTCTGCACATTATAAACAAATTATTATAATTTTTTACCTTTAGCAGAAAACTTTTTTAGCGACGCCTATGAAAGTCATTCAATTTTATTGCCAGGTGTTTTTTACATGTTCAACTGACTTCGGAAAGACTATACCATATGCGACACTTGTTTACCTACCAAAAAAGAAAAAAAAAGTTTTCCATTGTTGGGGGAGTTTCATGTAAATACCGCCTTGTCAGAAACTTTTTTCTTGTTACAATTGTATTTAAATACTTTTATATTTAAAACAAACTAAAAAATTATTTAAATCATTACATTTTTATGGGGGTGTTTTAGAAAAAATACTATAAAATTAGAAGTGCCTAAACAATGACTATGGGAAATATATTTCTTAATGAAACTTGGTACGTTTCTAAAGACAATGTTTGTACCGCATTGAAATTTGATTAATTTGATAAATAAATATTTTGCGGATGGTAAATTCTGATCGATTTCCAAATCAACTTTTGGAATGGTTGATAAAATAGTTAAGTAGTAGAAAAAAAATATATTTGTTCCTACAAGTTTCGGAGATATTGAACGCTTATTACAACTTCTTTTTTTATTTTGGAACGTAACATTTTGTCATGAAATCTATTGATTATGGATACTGTGTGTGTTTTTAACTTACACATAGTGTTATATTATGGTATTCTTTAAATGGTCAAGTATGTATTAACTTCTTTGATGCATTTCCTGTGAAATCACCATCGCGTTTACCATAATAATACAACTAGAAATATTCTAAAATTCAAATACAACTTATGGAAATGCAATTCAAATACTGAATGGAATTTTAATATTTCCTGAAAGGTAACGTTAACATGTTTTACATATATTTGTTGTTAAAATACCCTTAAGTAGTGTTTCATATATTATTTTTCTATGTGTTATATACAGGGCGATTTTTAAGTCCGTGTTATAACTGCAGAGAATCATTTCAAACCTAACTGCAAAACTGCAAAATTTTTGAGATACAGCACAGTGCAAGATAAAAATATCACATTCATTTAAATATCTCTGATGAATGACCTTGGTAGATGAAAATTGGATAAACAATTTGTTTAATTAGAAGTAAAAATGTATTGATTTAGTTTACATATATGTCAACCAGAGGCGTAGGTACTGCTGACAATGTGATTAACCCTCAAAGGTCTCACTTGGGGTGGACGACCTTAAAGGTCACACTAGTGCGAATTGGGATTTTGCCAACTTTGTGTCTTCTTTATGTGTTAACGAAAACATAACGTATTTATATCAAAACTGGGGTAAAATTTTCCGAGAAATCGAATGATGTAATTATTATTTTGAAAAGAAATAATTTGTTAGTAAAAAATTCGATTGAAAGAAAAACATTTTTCGAAAAATGTCTTTAAATTCGTATTTGTATTTATAGATAATGGTTAGAGACAAAGTAAAAATAGGATTTTTGAAGTTCAAAGTGTATTTTTAAGAAATATAAAATATATAAAATACCCCATTTTGATAAAATGATATCGATTTTTTTCGGTTTCTCGAATATAGGCATTTTTTGAAGTTGTGATTTTTGGCTCTTTTTCTAAAAAACCGCAGCGGCTATCGTCGACTACGCCTTACGGTAGAATAATTATGAAATGAATGAATGAATTATGAATGAATGGAAATTCAGTCACACTTTTGCCCACACTAAAGTCACACTAGTGCGAATTCGCACCGATCCGACTTTCAGACTTTTGGTTCGGCCGACAATAACAGACTGAGGTCAGCTGTGGTATAGTCTTTCCGAAGTCAGCTGAACATGTATATAAACGCCTAGCAATAAAATTTAATGAGTGTCATAGGCGACCCTAAAAAAGTTTTCTGTTAAAGGTAAAAATTATAATAATTTGTATATAATGTGTAGAAAATTTCTACTATATGTTCATTTGACCAACAACATATAATTATTTATGACCTCAAACAATTTTATTATATTGATGGTCAATTTCGTTTTGTTCCGTTTCAAAAGGTCTCCAAAATGCCAAGCCTGCTGCATACCGCCAACCTCTTGATTCTTCAATTGAGATCGGAAAGACTATACGGCTCGACTGTTTGCGTTATACAAGGAATTATCGTGGTGAGGGAACCCTCGGCAGCTTACTGAGAAATGCCAGCTGTTAAAAAACGGTGGTCCGAAGTATTTGGGAAAATGGATAAGTACATGCGTCTTTCATTTTATTAAGTATATCTCAAATTCTGCTAGGGAAATTGATTTTTTTTAAACTTTGCATAATTTTGGGAGCTATAGCATGTATTGCTGTCAAATTAATCTCTCTTGCTTCGTTCCTGTTTTCGTGTCTACGTTTTTTTTATAATGTCACAGAAATTTTACAGTGAGGACACATAAACACACTACCGTCACTAAACACTTGAATAAATAACTATAAATAATACACTTACACTACACAAGACACTGTTTTAAATTTTACTATAAAATTTAGCTTAATAAAACATAACATTGCAATATACATATTGTTTTTCGATCTCAGTAAAAACTGATACTTCACACAGAAAGCCATGACTTATTCGGCCATTTTCGTTTCGGCGAATTAATGTGGCCGTTTGTTTTTTGTCCGTCTAGCGCCCTGTTGTCATATCAAATCAGGTGTATTGATATTATGTAGTTCACTTTGTCAATGTTAGAGGTTATTGACACTGAGATTCTCAGACTAAAACAGTGCTAAAAAATAGTAACAACTACTTTTTGTTAGAAACTATTATCCTTTAAAAAATGACCTCTACTTAAACTTACACTCTGTATTCTTAAATTCAAATTAAGCAAAGTTAACTAGATCAAATCAAAAGTATAAAAAATCATTGACGTGGAAATGTATTATTATCTTAGGACTGAGAGGATGTAGGTCCCAAAAAAAATATATTATATTTCTGTTTGGAAGAAGCCTTGCTCTCTTCGCAAATTTTACTGCTTTTCCTAGTTCTGTGTCTTGTCAAATTGACAATTGGTTTCTTGCTGGTATCACGTATCTATTCAAGCCCTTCTCGTGTGGACGAAATTTTCGGGCACGCCACTGGGGCATCAATTACCGACACGACTAATCGAATTCTTAGGAGCGGCGCGTCTCTCAAAAAACAACAAAGGCCGCCAGCCACTCCACGAGAGCCAAAGTGCCGGGCGGTATCAGAACGCTCCGGTGCTTCGCGTTTGTTTTTTGTTAGCCCCGTCAGTGGCAGATGATGCACGGCCGCCTCTTATGAATGTATAAGCGTCTGCCAGCAACTATTTCTATTTTTACCACCGTTGAAAGTGAGTTTCTTGAGGCGGGTTGTCCGGCCGGAGCAGGTCGTCTGCAGAGGATGGAGATTTGTAGGTACGAACTGCAGGCAGGTCTCTGTATTGGCGCGTGAGGTGAATACAGCGCGATTTATTCGTACGCCGTGCGATGTCGGAATACAATAGGTTTGTTTCTGCAGTAGTTTGTGGCTGTCGGGAGCAATCTCAAACTCTGATGATAGTTCGATGTTCTTGCAGAATTTCAAACCGATTTCAAACGGTTTGCTGACTAGGGGGACTAGGACAATTGGCTGACTATCCTCAA